AAGTTTGAAGGAACTTAGCTGCTGTCTCACTCCCATGGATCAACTGACTTGTGCATCTTATTTAATAAAAGTCTTGTGTTTTGTATGGACTGAAGAGGGTAAGACTGAATCATGGACTCACTACCATATTACAATATGCAGAATGTAGAGCTACAGTTGTAGAATATTGTTAAAAATAGCTATTTGCCACCGTAGAGAGAGTTGCAGTTTTGTTCCACAAGTACTTTGTGAGGAACAATTTATTTATTTATTTATTTATTTATTTAGGTTTTTGTTATTGGGGAATGAATCTAGGTCCCAATGCATGTTACACACCCCTTAGCAGTGAGCTGTATATCTAGAATATTCTATTTACATAGTGATGTCCAGTACAACTTAGAAACATTTTCAAATCATTTTTACCGAAATTGATCAGTGACAAAAAAAAAAAAAAAGACTATTTCCTTTTCCCTTTTGAAAGAGGCAAGATTTTACTGGACACTTCCTATTACTCCCTAAGTTTTGTAAGTCTTTGGCACTGTGAGATAAGAGTTGGAAGGCTGAAAAACTGCTACCTAGAAGCATAGAATCTAAAGAAGACAGGTAAAAAACACTAGCAACAAAAGCACAAGGTAAAAATTAATTTCATTTTAGCAGCTAATAGAAACAGCCCTTCTGAGCACTTCCCAGCCTGAAGAAATGATTGTCTTTTATTAAGTATTTCCTCCCACTCACTGAGATACTTATGAGTTAAAAAACAGCAGGGAAACTAACAAACATGCTTCCTTTTTTAAAAAAGAAAAAAAAAAAAAAAGCAAAAACTGTTGGTTTGATACAACCCCGCCAGGGCTGGGAGGCCCAGGTTACACAGTGCTGTCAAGGAAACCAAAATAAAACAGAAGTAGGCTGTGCATGAATCACGCAGTATGTTAGAAGAATGATCCATGGAGGAATGCGCTGGGTAGGGTGGGTGTAACTGCTCACAGAGCTGTGTTCTGTGAACCACTGCCACGGGAAGCTTTCTCGAAAGGTCTCAGGTGTCTTTGGTGACCTGAAGCTATGATCACGGTCAGTGAGTGAAGTGGCCCAGGGAGACGAGAACACTCGTAAGTGACAGCTACCACACAGTTACAGTGTTGGAGCTGGAAGTCAAGTACTGTTAGTCTGTGTAACTTGTCCTCAAATTAAGGGATTCCATCAACTTCCTAGTTGTTTCTGGACTTCAACATGACATAGGATACGTGAAGAAATTTTAGGTACTATGTAAAAAAAATACAAATTAATATTATGTTCCAGATTCTCTCATAACTGTACCACACAATGAACAGTCTTAGCCACCTCTCCAATCAGCAGTATGCCTGGACTGTTTTTCTACCAGTCAGTAATTGTCTTCCTGTGTATGCATGCAATCTATGCCAAAATATTTAGCAGATTCTCTGGAATTTAGCTGGCACTGAGTGAAAACTGGCTTTCTTTCTGTCCTTCCAGGGGTAAAATAAGTATAAATAGAGGCTATGGGGAATTTTGATACACAATTTCTCTACCAATAATTTTACTGGAAATAAAAATATAACCACACTCCAAGGAAAGGGTGGCATGTGTTTTTTTCCCTATAGTTATTTCAGCAGCCCCATGAGGTGCTATGGCAATCCTCACTTTGCAGATCAGGGAGATGGACCTACTGAAGGATGGAGGGTCTAGGCCACAGCTGGCCAGTGCCCAATCCAGGATTTCAGCTCCAGCAAAGAGACCACAGCTATTAAGAACTTGTTTTGTTCTGCCTCTTATCTGGCTGAAGCATTCTGGTTGGGTTTTATTTCTTGCTTCTTGATTTGTGACCTCACAAACCTTTGGAAGAAGCTCCAGGCATTTTTGAGACTTCTAAGTAGCTGCTATCAATGTCATTATCTGGGGTTGAAAGGTTCATTTTTTTTCTCCCTAGAATCCGTAAGCAATCCAATTTACAGGGGAAATGGACAAAACAAACAAACAAAACAGAAAATAAAGCAACAACAACAAAAACCCCAAGCCAAAAAACTTTAAACCCCCACAGTTCCGTAGATCAATATTGACCACTAAAACTTACAACGAACAATATTTTGTCATGGAAGTTAGGATCAGAATAAATTTTCAACTGAAAGGCTCTTAAGTAATCACATAAAAGATAGATTGTATACCTGCAGAAAACCACACCCGATTCTATAAACATGTCTACTTCAGTTAGATTCCAAAATGGTCGTAAAAAAGACCTGCAAGCCTCATCATGCTTTCTAAGTCTTCAAAGTTTTATCTTAGGACAGAAACTCAGGCAATAAAAGTTAGGTAAAATCCCATATTAGCAGTCTCCCTTGCCACTGACAAAGCAGCACTGTGAAGGCACTTACAAAGAAAAGGCTAAAAATGCTATATTAATACCAGCCCCTCCATCAAAAATAGAAACAAACAAACAAAACAAATATGAGAAGAAGAAGAATGCTGAGAGACAATTGTAAAAAACAGAAAATAATGGTGAAAGGGACTGAGTTGAAATTATAGGTGAATTGGATAGAGTTGGTTAAGCAGCACATAGCTTCGCTGTTCATTTTTGCATGTTTTAGAAGGACAGAACGGACGGCTAGTAGAATAGCAAGCCCTTGTTTAAGAGGGCTACTGTGCTGGTGGTCTTCACATAGTTAAAGCTAGAGAAGGATCCATGTTGCCTTAATCGCCAGAGTATTTGACAAGTGTTCTTCAGGTTACAGCAGCTTGGGGTCTCAAGGTTCTTCCTATTAAAACATTCTGTGAACAAGGTCTGGAGAAATGGCTCGGTGGTAAAGGGCACTTGCTGCTCTTCTAGAGGATCCAATGTAGGTTTCCAGCAAGTAAGTCAGGCAGTTCAACAGCCTCTGACTCTAGGGGCCCTGAAGTCTCTGGCTTCCTTCATCACCTGCATCCATGTGCACATAACCCACACAGACATGCATGGATACTAATAGTTAAAAATAAAGTAAATCTTTAAAAATATTCTGTGAACAGAGGGGAAGTCCAAAGTAACACAGGGAAAACATAAAAAAATCTACATTTGTCTGTGTGGAACATTAAGATACCCAGGAAACAGTTAAAAAAATTCCATGAACATAAATACACTTGAACTGGGAGAACATGAATTCATGAAGATAAAAACATTAAGTCAGTAGGTGTGAAATATAGTTTTAGTTAATTACAGTCTCACCTTAATTAAGATTCCTGGTGGAGATACAAGGTGTTAATAAGTAAAGAGACATAAATTTACTAAGAGTTACATGCAGGGGTTAGATCTATCTTTTTAAAATTGTTTTAGATTAGAGGCTGTTTCAAAGGTAGAGAAAGCTCTGAGCCAGGACCTTTCTGTGTAGAGACCGTGATGGCACTCTTGGCTGGAGGCTGAGGGCTGCTGTACAAGGACCATGGAATTTCATTGCATGGCAGATGTAAAGTCTGCTTTTGACAACTCCGCTGGAATGACAGTAACAGAAAGCTTTTCCACCAGCTCTGCTGACTAAGAGAAGGCAAAGCAGTGCTTCAATGACTACCAGCTCTCAGAGGAACCTTGTCCATCTCGGCCACCAGACTCTTTCCCCGTGGGCAATTAGATCTTGATACACCTGGTTTAGCCATTTCCAAGAGTGGCTTGGTCATGGGCAGCAGTCTGACCTGCCTGGCACAGATGTTGAGTCAAGGACTTTCTCCACAACAGCTGCAAGACTGTGAGACTTCAGAGTGTAGAGAGAAAAACCCTCCACCAGCCCATGGATGATATCTAAGGGGATTAGTGACTCCTGCCAGGCTGTTTCAGTCCCCAAGTTCCTTTTTAGTTTTAATGTGTGGTCTTTCTTCTCATTCCCCAACACAATGCCATGCATTAAAGGGAAGCTGAATGAAATGAATTTGTTTCATTTTCAGACCTCATGGTTTGGATGTCCTTTGCTTCAGGGCCTTTTCATTTGAATTATGTGTATGTGTGCGTGTCTATACATGGGTATGTGCATGTGAGTGCAGTTCCCCTAGAAACCAGAGATGATCACATTCGCTAGAGTCAGAATTATAAGCAGTTGTAAGCTAATTGATATGGATTCTTGGAACTGAACTCTGGTCTACTGCAAGTGCAGTATGTGTTCTTAATTGCTGAGCCATTTCTCCAGCCCTGGATATGCTTTTATTAGAAGTATATACTTCTAAGAATTCTGATGGCAGATTTTTGCTGCCTAGAACAACAGTAAAAATTTATGCTTTTCAATGATCTGATATAGAAACTATATCAAGAAATGAGAAAGAACTAAGGGTTAGAATGTTTGCAATGAATCTCAATTAAAAAAAGAAAAATTCCAGTAAATGCACTGACCTGATATAGCATGGCTTTGAATGCCAAGTGTCTCAATCTCATGGCTAAATTTTCCTCTGCTCTGCCATAAAACAAGCCCTAGAAAACAAACAAAAAGTTCTACATTTATTCCTAACTCTCTTTGTATTCAGTTATTATATTTTCAACTGAAACAGAGAAGATAACATAAACATGGAATCCTGCCCAGTCCTGGTTAGTCAATTAAAAGTTACCTGCATCAGGTACGTGACAAGAGCAACAATGCCCAAGACGACTAACATCATGGAATAGAGTTCTGCATCATGTTTTATTGTAGTTTTATTTTTGTCTTCAAACATCTGAGAAGAAACACAGTTTCCATCAGAAGTTTGGAGGATATTGCAAACAGAAAAAAATGACCTCATTTAAAATGTCCATATATATCAGAATTCCCTACAGGAATTGCAACATAAGGGAAAAACTATGCATTTCTGGGCAAAGCATCACTATTATTATTATTATTATTATTACTATTATTATTACTATTATTTATTTTTAATATACATGATAAAATAAATTTACTTTTAATGTATCACACAAATGAGTCTTCTACTATCATAGTATTTTTCCTTTTTATTATTATTTGAATTTTGTTTCTTTTTCTCCCTCCCTCCCTCCTTTCCTCCCTGCTTTGGGTATATGTGTGTGAATTTGGGCATTTGTGTATAGGCCAGAGGTCAACTTTGGTAGTGGTTTTTGCCACGTTGAGGCAGGGCCTCTTCTGTTTCTCTACCTCAATTCTAGGCTAGCCATGCCTCAGTTTCCTGCCTATGCTCCTGTCTCTGCCTCAGATCTTGCCATAGAGTGCTGGATTACAGATGTGCACCACATTTGGCTCTTAATGGGGTTTCTGGGGGTCAAATTCAGGTTGTCAGATTTGTGAGGTAAGCACTTTTACCCACTGAGACAGTTTTCTGACCCTGTAGCATTTTTTCAATTAGATCAGCAGTTTGAATTATTATTTCTAGTAACTTTTAGTAACTCACATTTCTTAATATTCATCTAAAGTGACACATTTGTATGTGCCCCTAGAAGTTGTTCACAAAGTTAAGTGTTAGACACAAATATTGGCATGGAATGTTCTGTGCACAGGGCAGCTGAAGACAATGTGGGTCAGTGATTTCCTGAACCAGTCCACTCTTCTGGGGTTTTGGCACAATCCCAAACTTGTATTCTCTATCCCTGAGCTGGCTGGTAATAAAAATTTGTCATTGTTTGGACAGGTTGGGAATAGAGAAGCTGTAGCTGTCTCTTTTATTGCTTCAGTGCTTAGGAATGCTGCTACAGCACTGGAGTCAGAATTTCTTTACAGCTCATCCAGCCAGCAGGGTCCAGCTGAACATTGTGAGACAGCTATGGCTCATCTCCCAGGCATGGGAGCTGTTTTTCCTACCATGGACCCTGTCCTAGGGATGAGCCACTGAAAGTTCTGTGTTCTCTGACAATGCTTAACTTGTTAAAAGCATAATAAACAAGTGAGTTTTACTTACAGTGACTAATTTTGCAAAGACGACAGAAAACACTGGGTGAACAGATCCATTTAGGAGAGAAGCCAGCATTCCCAGAACCACAAAAGGCCATTCAGACTTGTTTAATTTAAATATTTTTAATAGAGAAACTTCAGGAAGACTTGCCTATAAATAAAACAAGTTGGTTGAGAACAGCATCAGTGAGGACATTGTGGAACCCAGAGAGGTGAGGCAGGACAGATGGAAGCAACCAGAATGTAGCAAACATAGCATGATGGCGGTGTACAATTGTATTTAGTTAGAAAAATTTATCACTGCTATTACTAATGATGAACCTGAAACATAAAGGAATCATACACCAGAGTGATGATTTGTACAGTGTCAGCTTTTGAAATTCCACCCAGTTGCTAGCTATCACCAAGTACAAATTGGGACAGGAGAGATGGCTCAGTGGTTGAGAACCAGGGTGTGATTCCCAGAACGTGCATGAGAGCTCATAACTACCTGTAACTCCAATGCCAGGGGACCTGACCTACTTAGGCACTGTATACATGTGATACACAAACATACATGCAGGAAAAAAACATATACATAAAAAATTAAAAAGAAAGCACATATTAGGTCACATGTCAGATAGCTAGGAATCACAAGAAATAACAGAGTCAATTTTCCTTAATCTTGTTAGACTGGATTCAATATCACGCTCTAATCAAGGGTTAGGGTGAGGCAGGAAGTCAGCAGAGAAAGTACAGGAGGTCAATGTCTTACTAGGAATTTTAGCCTTGAAATTGTTCCAGTTTGGATGTGTGTTACGGTGTGAGGGCATGTATACTGTAAGTACACAGGCTATGTGCTCAGAGCTAAGACTAAGTGAAGGTGTCCCACGGAGTACAAGTGAGACAGCCAGGAAAACTGTTTTTACCTTCATTGCATGTTTGATATTGAATTACTATTTAGCTGTCATGTATTCAGAAACATTTTACTGTTGTCATTTTTAATTTTTTTTTTTGTGATCTCAGCATTCAGTTCAGTGCCCCCACATGCAGTTATGAGTCACAGTTTCAAAAGGTGGATTTCTTTTCCCTCTAGGATTAAAAAAAAAAAAAGATGCAGGTTTTAAAATAAGAAGTAGGCTGGATGGTGGTGACACTCGTCTTTAATCTCAGCACTTGGGAGGCAGAGGCAGGTGGATCTCTGTAAGTTCCAGGCCAGCCTGCTCTACAGAGTGAGTTCCAGGACAGCCAGGACTGTCACACAGAGAAATCCTGTCTTGAAAAACAACAACAACAACAACAACAACAATAACAACAACAACAAAACACACCACACACACAAAAAGAGTATTGCTTAAACAGTGTTAACAAGACAGAAAAGAATAAAATGAAATAAGACTAAATCAAAATGAAACATCTCTATAAAATCATGAGTAATGCCATATATTACAGATTGTAGAGTATCTTAAGATAACCTGATATAAAAAATGAAATAGTCATTTTCTGTAGAGACACAAATCTGTGTGATAAAGTTAAAAATCTCCCAAAGAATTAAAAATTTCATTAGATCTATTTTTGAACTTTATTGAGTTATAATTTGCATATAGCCAGTTGCACATAATATTTGCTTATAGTCAACTGCACATATGTGTGTAGTTAGCGAGTTTGGAAGTAGCTAGTTATTGATGGGAATATTAACACAGTTATGATAATTAACACTACTGCTTCCCTGGAAGGTTCCTCTTGACTTTTGCAAGCCAGTTCTCTCCAGCCCTCTTGGTTGCCAGTCCAGCTCCTTCATCCTGTGCCCACCCCTGCAACTTACATCATGTTCCTGTCTGTTCACATTTTTCCTCTTTGTTCTGACCTTGTAAAGCGGTGCTGCTCTTTCTTTCTTTCTTTCTTTCTTTCTTTCTTTCTTTCTTTCTTTCTTTCTTTCTTTCTATCTATCATCTATCTATCTATCTGTCTATCATCTATGTATCCATCTATCTATCTATCATCTATGTATCTATCTATCTATCATCTATGTATCTATGTATCTATCTATCTATCATCTATGTATCTATGTATCTATCTATCTATCTATCTATCTATCTATCTATCCATCCATCCATCCATCTATTTTGATGCTTTGGAGTTTTTAAATTTAGCCTGAGTTCAGTCCTACAGCAGATAAGTGGTTTGTAAATACTTTCAGTTTATGGTTTATCCTGTTGCTTAAATCTGTTTTATAAATGGAAATGTTCTTCATTCTAATAATGTCTGATTTATTATTATTTTTTCAGTAGGTTTTTGGTAATACGTGTAGGAAAACTTAGTCATAAAGGTTTTCTACTGGGTATTCTCACATAAATTCAATGTTTTTACATTAGTAATATCTCGTGTGTGTGTGTGTGTGTGTGTGTGTGTGTGTGTCTACATGTACACTTGCCACAGGGTATATGTGGTAGTCAGAGGACAACTTACAGGAGCCTGTTCTGTCTTCTACCATGTGGGTGCTGGGGATTGAACTTGGGTAATCGAAAGACTTTACCCACTAAACCATCTTGTCAGTTATTTTTGTTTTGTTTTATTTTACTACTGATTTTTTAGTAAATGCTAGATGTTGTAAATTTTACTTTGTTGGATACTTGAAATAAATGAAAATTTCTTTGGTATCCATCGATGACATTCACAGTTATTGACAATCTGACAATAGTTTATTTCTTATATTCAGAAAGTAATGTGAAACCTTTCCCAAGGGCTAATGGGAAAAGTTCTGATTTTTTTTTTCTCATTCAGATTAATGACCTCTGATTTCTATTCGGGGATCTTCTGTGAACTTGTGGACTATATACTTAAAAAAAATAAACAAAACAAAAAACCCCTAAACAAACCAAAAACAAACAACAACAACCCCCCAATCTCAAAGAAAGAATAGGATTCAAAATTGAAAATTATTTTTCTTTAAAAATTTAAAAATTAATTTTACTAATTTATTTTGCCCACATGCCTGCATGTGTGTGCATTCACAAGCTTGCCTGTGCTGGTGTGCACATGTGTCTGGTAGAGAGGCAAGCCCCTTTACCTGCTGAGCTGTCTTGTTGGCCTGGAGATTATTATGTGTTTATTTATACAAACGAACCTTTACAAAAATAAAAGTGATAGAAAAGAGGGGGGAAGTGTAAAAAAAAAAAAAAGGAATGGGTTGTATCTTAAGTGAAACAACTGATTGGCTGTGTCACTTAGGGCATCAGAAGGGCTGAGGTATGCATGCAATCCAGAGCTCAGGCAGATAACTGACAGATGAGCGGGAGAAGGTGGGCTGGGAGATGGCAGGAAGAGGTTAGTGTGCTTTAATCTGAACTGTTTTGTTAGTCCTAGAGAGAGGAATGGCTTTTCTAGGTAGTGTGGGCCCAGGATAGCTGTTGGGTGATTGGCAGCTGGAGGCTAAGGAAACTGAAGCCACCACACAGGAACTGGCTAGATGAGGGACTTCTGTTTGCAGGTAACAAGTAGAAAACAGCACACACTGGCCAGTAAGTAAGGTGGGACTGGGGAGAGGGCAAGCTCTGGAGATCAGGGAGTCAATCAGGTGAAGGGAAGCACTTTTGATAAGAATGGCTGGCTGGTTGGTTGTTTTTGTTTGTTTGTTTGTTTGTCTGTTTTTCCAACTTGGCACAAGCCAGAACCATTTGGGGGAACCTCAACTGAGAAAATGCCTCCAACAGATTGGCCTGCAGGCAAGTCTGGGGTAGGTGCATATTCGTGTGGGCGGTCCCAGCTCACTGCGGGCAGTGCCACCCCAGGGCGGGAGGTTGTATAAGAAAACGAACTGGGCAAGCCATGGGGAGCAAGACAGTAAGCAGCTTCCATGGCCTCTGCTTCAGTTCCTGCCTCTAGGCTCCTGCCTTTAGTTCCTATCCTGATCTCCCTTCAATGATGGACTACAACTGTAGGCTGAAATAAACCCCTTTCTCTCCAAGTTCCTTTTGAGCATGGCGCTTATCATGGCATTAGACAACTAACCAGGGAAGGCATTGAGAACATTCAGTTGTGGATCTGGAGCTTGAGGTGGGTTAAGAGGAAGGAGTTAAATTGTGATAGAGAAATGATACAGGGTAAGGTAGTGACCGAAGAGAATACCAGTGGTGTCAGGGTCAGGGAGGGATAAAGCAGGGCGACCTTTGTACTGGGAGTAGGGAGGAGAACGCTGGGGACAAGTATCCCTAGCCAAGGGAGCTGGGTCTGAGGTCAGAACTGTACATGCATGCTTGTTTGCCTCCAGGCCGTTGTGGCAGGAGTGGCCAGTGAAAGAGGCATTGAGATTAGTTAGAAACCCATCTCCACCAGGATCATGTGCAGAGAAAGTAGCATGTAAATGACCATGATACTGGGCGGTTGCAACTCTCAAGCTCACTTCCATTCTTAGGTGGGCCTTTTCCTTCCTTAATAGTTGGTTTGGATTTCTATGACTATTTACTTGTTGCTGGTCCAGTTCTGTGTTCTGAGACATAGGGACCTGGAAATCCCATTGGATGCCCCTAGACTCAGATCTACAACGTCCTGATCCCATTTAATCTGGGATAGCCCTGGTGGTGTGTTCCACACTTCAAGCTGCTGTTTTAACCCATGGTTTGCCTTTTAGGAAGGAACAGCATGTTTTCATGATATTTTTTTTTTCTCCCCAACAAAGAGCTTTGACATAAATGTGGTTCATTAATGACCTCCTTAATGTCAGGGGAAAGTGAGAGCAAATGTTTTGTGAACTTAATGGCACAGCACTATTTTACTGTCAATCAACTATAAATTTTATAAGGATTAATTGGGCACTGGAGAACATGTGTACAAGCACTTTGATAGATGACCCCATTACCTTTTGATGGTGAATGGCTTCCTCAGACTGATCAGCACAGGGGAACTTGGTGCTGCTCACATCACACAGAGAAATGGAGCTGTTATTTCCTTCAGAGGAACATGTCTTTGACTCCATTTGTTCATCAGCTTTTTTAATACCCTTAAATGAAAAATGTATAGGCTGTCATAGCGATGCCTTAAAAACACAGAGGTAGGGTTAGGGAGATAGATAGCTCAGCTGATGAAGCGCTTGCCCGGCAAGCATGAGGACCAACTTTGGTCTCCAGAACTCGTTTAAAAAAGCCAGGCAAGATGGAAGGGGAGGCGAAAGGGTGCTGCAGGATGGGTTGTGAGTTGGGGCAGGGAAGCAGCTGGGGAGTGAAGATGTGAGGGATAGACAGAGATAAGTCGATCCTCGGGGTTTGTTAGCTAGCTACTCTAGCCTACTTGGTAAGTTCTAGGCCAGTTAGAGTCTTCCTTAAAAACAAACAAGCAAACATAAATACACATGTACACACAGACACAGACACACACGCACGCACACGCACGCACACACACACACACACACACACACACACACACACACACACACACAGAGGAAAAAATACAAAGGTACTTGTTATGTCACTGTAAAGTTTGGGTGTCTGTGGCCAGGACCTGAGATCTTAGGAGACAATAATACTTTCCTGCCCAGCAGCCACAGCACAAATCCAGACTGAGATCTCCAAGCAAAATGGGGGTGTATGCATTGGGGCTCACTGAGAATAAAAAAATACAGAGAAATCACACTAACCACAAACAAAGAGTTAAAATATAGATTAGGGTTAAATTCTAAGCCAGATTGAACTGGACCTAGTTTTTCTTATAATTCAGGGCAATTTTAGCGAAACCCAAGCAGCATCCTCCATTGATCTAAGGGAAAGAGTGTATTTGTGACTGCACTAGAACAGCAGCTGAGAGAAGGACAGGGAGATGGAGGCAGGATCAGGTGGGCAGAGATTGTGTGCACAGGACCACATTCCAGGGATGCTCAGATTCCTCAGTAATCTGAACAGTTAATGAATCACATGATGGCACAGTGAACTTTAACCAGACTGTCTTGCCATTAACATCTGTAATCACAAACTCTTTTTACGCTATCACCTTCTTTTCTGTTATTTTTTCTACTGTGGGAGAAATCTTGTATTTGACTAAATTTTTTCCTTCAGGAGCTATTTAATTTGTGGAAAATTTACAATAGAATTCAACCTGCTTTCATAGTAAAGTTTTCTAAGGAGGAATTCTATTATGGGTCAAAGACAGTTGAGTTTGCTAAGGCGCTACCTAGACAAAAGAATAATGAGGGTGGGGCAGGTAGAGACAGGAGAAAGGAAGGTTAAGGGCCAACCAAAACTAAGGATGTCTGCAAAGTCCTTATGGAAACCTATTGCTTTGTAAGACAACTAAGAAATACAATTTAAGAAAAAGGAGTTTGAACGGATGTACCCTGCATGGGAAAATGAAAATCTTAGTGCCACACCTCCTTACAACTCAAAGAGCCCCCAGGCATCTACAAAACAATACATGCTGTCATCATTGCTCTTGGTTGCTCACCAGAACTAGATAGTAAGACCCTATTGTTGAAGATAAAACTTATTTGATTGTAAGACATAGAGAAACCAATCTGAGACTGACCTGAGAATGTCCTTTCTGCTGGCTAGCTTCCCTGGTGCTGGACGGCTTTAAACAGGAAGGTGATTGGTGGTGGCTTTAAACAGGAAGGCAGCAGTAGTCCCAGCACTGTATCCTGAGTACTACAATACTGACCTGGGGTAACCAACTGCTTTTTTTTCTGGGTATGAGGCCTGGACACAGGAGGGAATTATTGTCTAACAGAAAACATGCTCAGAAGCCCATGGATTTACTGGGTTACAAAAACAAAAAGAAAGAGAAGGAAAAGAAAGAACAGGACATGAAGATGGGAGGCGGATGTTGAGTATGTTGGGAGGTTGGGGTAGATAGGAATTGAGATACATTGTATACATGTACAAAACTGTCAAAGTACAAATAAAAGATATTCTAAAAAGTGCATCTGAGCCAGGCTGGGAGTGGCACATGCCTTTAATCCCAGTACTCTATGGGTTCAAGACCAGACTGGTTTACAGAGTAAGTTCCAGGACAGCTAAGGCTACACACTGAGCTAGTCTCAAAAGACAAACAAAAAGAAAATAAAACAAAGACAAATTGCATCTGTATTGCATTAATTTTTTTAGATTTATTTATTTATGATTTTTTTTTTGCTTGAATGCATATGTATGTGCTCCTGGTGCCATGGAGGTCAAGAGGGGGCATCAGATCCCATGTAACTGGAGTTCTAGTATTTATGAACCACCACACCAGTGCTTAGAACAGAGCCTGGGTCCTTTGTGAGCCACGGGTGCTGTTACCCAGGACGAGGCCATCTCCCTAGTTCCTCTATACTTGACTTCCGCTTGTGCAGGAATAATTCCAAATACTTATATGAATTATCTCATTATTAATTAATTGATTACTGCATTTCCCTCAGGTTAGGGATTAGAAAACAGAAGCAGAATGAATTTAAGACACTTTATCCCAGGCTCTAAAAGCGTGACCTCAGCTGGCAGTGACAGCAACTCATTCCTTAGCTACCATGCTGTCCTGCTTCTCAAGCGTTCTTTTCTTCCCTTTTCCCATGTGTATGTCCTCTCTCTCTGCTCTCTCTCTGTCTCTCTCTGTGTATGGATAGGTATGGTGTGGTGTGGTTTGTCTTTGTGCTTGTGAATGTGGAGGTCCAAGGCCAACAGTGGGAAACTTCCTTGATCATTCTCCACCTTATTCATTTAGCAGGGTCTCTCAGTTGAACCCAGAGAGTTTAGAATAGTTGGGCAGTTGTGTACTGGGGACTCTGTCTCTTCTGCAATTATAGCCACTTATCCCCACACACACACACACACACACACACACACACACACACACACACACACACACACACGGGAATCTGGCCTTACAGCCCCACCCACTGGTAGTAATCTGTAATTACAGAGGTCTGCCACACTGGTGGGAATTTGGAATTACAGCCCCCCATATTGGTGAGATTCTGGACTTACAGTTCCCTCTCCCAACACTGGAGAGGAACTGAAATTTCAGGGGTCTGACACACTGGAGGGGATCTGGAATTATGTGTTGGGTGGGCGTGGGGGGGTACCACACTGGTGGGAATCTGGAATCTGGGCCTCACACTTGCAAAGCAATACTCCCCTCCCATGAGCTATCTACCCTTTTCTCATATTTTCTTAGCTTTGTCATTGTGATGGTTGTGAACCTTCAGAATGACTAATTATGACACTATGAGCAACAGTGGCAAATAAAAGCACCCAGAATTTGAAAAAAAAGAGTCACTTACTCACGTGGATTCACTGAGCATTAAGAATTCATTGTATTCTATCTGAATTGACACAATTTTGGCTATCTGAGAATACTAATCTACTTCAAAGAAGGTGTTAACATATTTTACATAGCTGTAATTTTCCCACATTTCAAAAACCTTTAACTCAAGACCTAGTGATGGACTTTCAGTTTAATAATAGTGAAAAACTAAAGATATGTTGAAAGACCCAGCACCAATGGTGGGAGGGCCAAGTCCTTGTGATGGAGGAAAAAAAAAAAGAAAAAGAAAAAAAGAAAAGAAAAGGAAAGCCTAAGTGTAACGGTTCTTAAAGATCTCAAAAAGTGATGGATTTGACCTCAATTATGTCCTTTTCTCACTAGTTATACTGGTTTGGAAATACTGAACTTAGTAACTTTATCAGCTGATGCCTCTCAGATAGTGGTGGGTTGTGACCTTCTTGGTGGTCACATATCATATATCCTGCATATCAGATATTTACATTATGATTCATAACAGTAGCCAAATTACAGTTATAAAGAAGCAATTACATGATTTTATGGCTGGGGGGCATCACAACATGAGGAACTGTATTAAAGGGTCACAGCATTAGGAAAGTTAAGAATCATGGCTCTAAGGGATGAAAAATGATGCAAATTCGGTGTCCAGCAACACCCCACTTTTATTTATTTATTTACTTATTTAATTTTGGCTTTTGGAGATAGTGTTTCTGGGTATAGCTCTGGCTGTCTTGGAACTCTTTCTGTAGACTAAGCTGCCCTTGAACTCACAGAGATCAACCTTCCTCTACCTCCCAAGTACTGGAATTAAAGGTGTTCGCCACCACGGCCTGTCTTTTTCTTTTTAAAGGAAACACAGAATATGGGCAAATATGAAATAAAATCAAAATCAAGTAGTTAATCAATTTGATTGTATTTTCTTCCTGTTTTGCTTCTTTTTTTAGTGTGCATACGTGTGTGTGTGTGTGTGTGTGTGTAGGACAGAGGTTAAAACCAAGTAGATCCATCTGTTGCCCTCCATCTTACTTTTGAGATAGGGTCTTTCATTGAGCCTGGGTTCATGTGTTTGGCTAGATCATCTGGCCAATGAGCTCCAGAGATCTGCCTGTAACTGCCCATCTTAGAGCTGGAGCTACTGTGTCCAGTTTTTACATGGTGTTAGGGACCTGGATTTAGGTCCTCATGCTTACATGACAGGCATGTTATTGACTGAGACATCTTCCCAGCACCCCCTCCACTTTAAAAACAAAACAACAACAAAAACAACCAGAGTCTCAGTATGTGTCCCAGGTTGGCCTTGAACTCACAAAGATCCTTGTGTTTCTACCTCCTGAGTGCTGGGATTATAGGCCTGAGCTACCATGCTCTGTTTAAGATTGTATTTATGTTTTGTTTTCACTACTTTTTAGATTATGTTAAACAACACCTTACTTACTGTAGTGGACAAAGTTAGAGTTTACAGTTTTCTTTACAAACTTGAAGAGGAGATAAAGATCCATAGATTTCTTTAAACAACACCTTACTTACTGTAGTGGACAAAGTTAGAGTTTACAGTTTTCTTTACAAACTTGAAGAGGAGATAAAGACCCATAGATTTCTTTTTTTTTCCTAGTTTGCAAAATAATAATCTAGACATCAAAGATAGGGCCAAACAGTTGAAGAAGTAAAATAGGAAAATTTGAAGAAGAAAATAAATGGGAAAAGATTGAAGTTATTTACCCACTGAAGAGCCTTTAGGAAGAAACCTGTCTTCTAGAATCAGAGAAGGCAGGAGTAAAAACGGGGGTGGTTTAGGGCTTAATTCCCATTATGTCTACTGATGTACCTTGAGGAAGGAGCTGTGTAAAATCCAACGTGGTGGATCTCGCCACATGAGACATGTGGACCCTGAAGAATGAGAAGTGGCCACTTTATCCTGCCCCTTTGACTGCCCAATATGAGCTCTGTATCCTACCTACGAGGATGTGAATGTAGGGAGCAGAGTTTGTGAGTATGTGTGCTCATTCCACAGATACTTATTGAGTTCCACCACATGGCGTGTACTGTGTTAGGTGTACTCTGCATCTTAAAGCCCTGGCCCTTCTGCCTGGCTTTTATCTTTCTGCATGGAAGGCTGATCTTTTCCTTTCAGTTGTACAAGGAAGTGTTTGTTTTTGTCTTTTTTATCTCTGCACTACTGTCTCATCACTCTGGCCTTCTTTTGTTTTACCCCCAACTTTGTAGCCTTCTAAGTGCTTCCTTGGGGAATGTAACCCTGTCCCCATTGGTCCTGCTTCCTATGTTATAAAGAAACATGCAAATGTAACACCCTGTAAACACTACCTGTGCCATGGCCAGTGAGTAATACAGCCCCCGCTTTGCCATTAGTTCAGCATGGGTCCCTTTCTCTGCCACCATGCCGTCCTTCATAGTCACAATCAGGTCTGCCCCACGAATAGTGGCAAGGCGGTGTGCTATCACAATTGTAGTCCGACCTTTGCTTGCCTACCAAACAGAAGAGGTGGTAAATAAACAGAAGAGTATTAGAAATAGCCTCTGCAATAGTCAGGACAACTTATTTCTCACAATGAATCTTATCCTGGGATATAGAAAAATCAGAATATTTAGCAGATTAGAAAGGGCAGTAGAAATTAGGATATAAAAAGTATTCCAAGTGGTGGGTTTTTTTGTTTTGTTTTGTTTTGTTTTGTTTTTCTCTGTGGCTTTGGAGACTGTCCTGGGACTAGCTCTTGTAGACCAGGCTGGCCTTGTACTCACAGAGATCTGCCTGCCTCTGCCTTCCAAGTGCTGGGATTAAAGGCATTTGTTTCCACCAATGTTTTTTTTTTTTTTAAATAAACCATAGTATCTTAGCATTAACAAGAAACCTAACAAGAAAAGTTTAGCTGTCTAACCATAAGAGCCAAAAGGATCTAAGATTTAAATTCATTGTCATTTCTCAAATGAGCATGTTCTTGAACAAGTTTTGTGCAGACTCAAGGTAAAATATGTTTAAAAACAATCACAAGCATATAGAAAGGTACACATGAGGTCACTGATAGATACATGTCAAACTGAATCCATCAGATCACATGGACAGGTCATTGCCAGCATTTAGAAACCATCACTTGCCCTCTCCTGTCACTGCCACTGCTTATGCACCAAAGACGACCACGATCTTAGTCTCAGTAACACTGGCTCGATCTCTGTCTCTCTCTCCTCTCTCTCTGTATTTATGTAATGGAATCTGCAGTCTATACTCTTACTAACTGAGCCATCTCATTGGCCCCATATTTGCCCATTTGCTAAGAATATATAGGTAGTCCATAAACAAGCACATATATATGCATACACATATATGATTGTATGTCTATATACATGTGTGTATAAGTGCATGCACGTTTTATATCAACCAACCCAACTAGGAAAGCAGAAATGTAATAATATGGGTTAGTAACGAGGAATTAAATGTGCCATTCAGAAGTGAGGCTAGGTCACTGAGTGATGTCAAAATCATTCTAAAGTCTCGCAGTTTCCAGAACTGTTTGAGTAAGGTAACTGGCAGTCAATGCTTCTCTACTTTAAGTGAAATTGTGTTAATGTGAATACCCTGGGGAGGCACTAAAGAAGAAAAGTGATTAATGAGAAGAATCCCAATAGTGTGAATGCAAAAAGCTAAAGATGCCCACTGCTTGCTTCTGTTGTTGCTGTGGGAAGGTGAGACCTGCTGGAATGGAATGGTGTATAGACAGATTGATGGCTTGCAAAGTGTGTGTGTGTGTGTGTGTGTGCGCGTGCGCGCGCATGCGTGTGCGCGCACACACACGCGCGCGCGCGCGCACACACACACACACACACAGGCACATGCCTGTGTGTTTAATGTCAGCTATAGCATTTATTTTTCCAAATCACACCCTGGATTCATACCAGAGGAACTTTGGGGACTACCAGCTGGTATCCAAGGAAATCCAAATCTGTATTTTCTTGTACTTAAAAACAGCAGTGAATCAGGAGTGTGGGATTCAAAAAAAGATTCTGTCCACTTACCTTCTCCAGTGCAGTTTGAACTACTGACTCACTCTCTGTGTCAAGGGCAGATGTAGCCTCATCTAAGATCAGAATTTTGGGGTTTCGAACTAGCGCTCGTGCAATGGCGATTCTCTGTTTCTGGCCTCCACTCATTTGAGCTCCCTTTTCCCCCACCAGTGTATTAAATTTCTAGTGAGACAGAGAGAAAAAAAAAGCACAAATATAGAAGGGTGATTAAATGACTTGAAGAGGAAATGACAAGCACATTTGTGTTTTGATACCAGCTTAATGACAGCTCTAGCCTGGCCATTCATAATCTTTGATTTGATCATTATGAAAACAAACATCTCTGAGAAAAGTTCCTGGCAAAGACAATAAGGAAAGGTAAGTTAAGACCAAACCAGATAAACAGAAACAAGGATTCTTTGAAAAACTCTTAATTGAGTTGAATTTTCAAATCTCTTGTAGATGACCTCAGAATACTTTAAAAAAAATCCATGAAGCATTCACTTTAATATAAGTGTTTGTTGGCAATTTGATAGGTTGTCTATACTTGTCCTCTTGGAGACCCTGAAAAGTAGTAAGACAAGAACGAATGCCACCTAGCAGGGTGTGGTGATGCCCACGTGTAAGCCTAGTGCTGAGGGGTCTCAGGCAGGATGACAGGAGTTCAAGACCATCCTTAAGTACACATTGAGATAAAAGCCAATCTAGACTTACAGGAGAACCTGCCTTAAAAACAAAACCAAAAGGCCAGCCAACACTCAGGTGGCAGAGGCAGGTGGGACCCTGTGAATTCAAGGCCAGTCTTTTCTACAGAGTGAGTTCCAGGACAGGAAGGGCTCTGTAGAGAGACCCTGTAAAACAAAACAAACATAGAAAGACCAAACAAACTGAACCAAAAGTAACCACAATTTCTTTTTTAAAAACCTTATTTTTTTTCCCTAAAAACATTTTTCAGTCTTGGGAAAAATTTAAGGCCCTTTCTTATTTATTTAATTCTTGATAAATATATTTTTAACAAATTGAATATTATTTTTTTATTATAATGGGATAACTTCTAGTATCTGCGATCTGTATTGGTCATATTCTGTTGGGTAATGGCACACATTTCACCAAGGATAGGAGTTTAAATACTCTTTTTATAATTTAATCTCTAGAAACTTTTTTTCTAAAAAAAAAAAATGTCAGTCTTGGGGCTGGAATGATGGCTCAAGTGGTTAAGAGTATCCGCTGCTTTTGTAGAGGACACATGTTTGGTTTCCAGCATCCACATAGTACTCACAATCACCTGTAACTCCAGTTCTCAAGGATCTGATGCCCTCTCCTGCCCTCCACGGCACATCACACATGTAGTGCAGACAAACATGACACTCATATACATAAAATAATCTTAAAAAGGATGAAAGATTTCAAAAAGAAAAAAGTCTTATTGTGGAATAATTTATGCACAATAAATGGACACATTTTATGGACACAGCCCTGCTTTTTTTGGCAAACAAGTTACTAGAGCATGCCACTGTCACCCAGTTATGAAAGTTTGTAGGTTGCAGAGCACTACTGTAACCTACAACATCTCAGGATCCTTTTCAGTCCAAACCTGACCTGGTTCAAAATATTTGTATTTGATTTTGACAGTGAAAATTTATCTATCTATCTATCTATCATCTATTTTTGAGACTATCTAGTGTAACCTAGGATAGCCTCAAATTTGCTGTGTAGCCTAGGATGATCTTTTACTGTTTTTATGTCTCCGTGCCTCCACCTCCCAAGTGTTGGGATTACAAGCAAGGGTCATAATGTCTGGATTTATATGATATGATGTTAGGAATTGAACCCAGGCTTCTTGCATGCTAGGAAAACTAGTGTGATAGTGTTGTGGGTTTTGTTTTTGTTTTTCATTTCTTTCCTTTGGTAATTTCATACACATATACAATATATTTAGATTATGTTTACCCCCTAGGACCTCACTCCATCCAACTGCCAACTCCTCCTGGACTTCCTCTGGGATTGGTTCCCAATTCAAGGCCCCTGCATCCTGCAGCTGGTCAGGTAGAGACACTTAGAACATGTTCTTGTACTGTGTGTCTAGCCTTTTTATTTTTTGGATGGTGTTTTTTGAAAGAGGGTTTTAATTTAATCCAGTTTACTTCTTTTTTTTTTCTTTGTTTCTTTCCTCCTCTTGTGGGCGCTAAGTCAGGCCCTTGTGCATGTCAGGTAAACACTCCACACAGAGTTACATCCTCAGCCTTTAGTTTGTGATATGTGGGTCCATTTCTGGAGTCTTTGCCCTGTGTCCTACATATCTTCTTATGTTTCTGTACTATTGTATTAGTTGTTTTCTTGAACTAGATGTTCTGAGTGTGTGTTAGCTTTGTAGATCTGTTTTTAAAGCTTCTTTGTCTATTCACATTTGATTTTATAAATACAAAAATATTCTAGAGTTCATCCATCATTTTCTACACATATACAAAAGACTCATGACATTCTCTGATTGGTGAAAAATCAGATTTATAGGTCAAGTTGGGAAGAATGTATAACCTTAAAAGCATTGACTCTTTAGATTAGCAAATAAAGTACAATTTATTTAGGACTTCTTTCACTATTTTGGTTAATCTTTTATTAAATATATTTTAAAGAAATTTTTATTTTGATGACATCGTGAATGCTTCAAATTTTTTTTTAAAATCACTTTTGCTAACTTTTAAAGATTCAGTTGATTTTTAAGGGAAGTTTGGGCTTATTACTTATTTTCTTTTTCTTGAAGTTTTTTTTGACAGTTTGTGTTTTTGAAGGCATTGATCCCCTTCCAAGTCGTTAAACTCGCAGGCACAGCAGGATTCATAGTAACCCCTTGTGGACAATTTTTCAGTGACTAGGATCAGTGGTCAAGAATGACCTTTCATTGCTGGTTCTCGTTCTCTTCCTCCTCCCTCCTCCCATTCTCCCCTCGTCTCCTTTTCCAACTCCCTCTTCCTCTACTTCTTTCTCATGTTTTCCCTTTTTCCCCTCTAGTTAACCCGTGGACTTCGGTATCGATCATGCTAACTTGTAGTTTCTATTTTCCTCTTTGGGTTGCAGTATTGTGATTTACCGTGAGGGGCATCTTTGTCTACAATTCTTCTAGTAAAGTAAGTACTAACTTGCAGAGTTGGGTTAAAGAGTACATGGAAACACTCCCAAAGTCTAAGTGGGAGGCAACAGAGCACTGTGCATTCTGAGGAAATTCATTGAAAGGAGTAAGAGGTCAACAAAAGGAGACATACCATTTCTCAACTACAGGAAAAGAACCTCAAGTGATATTGCTGGCCTACATGCTATGCTAATCGCTATGTTAAATCATGGCATAATAAACATTTTAAAAAAGAGTTATTTTAGTATGTCCTTCAAAAATAAAGTTTTTGTTATTGTGACCTTCTAGAATGATGGATTTTTAGATATAATTTAATTTCAAGTATTGATATATATATATATATCTATCTTACTGGTTGCACCCCACAATTTTTAGGTGGTCCTAATGAACTTCAGGGAATGTAGACAAATGGCTTAAAAACTATAACACAGTGATCACTAATACATGTCTTGTTGCCAAGAATTTTAAATTTGTCACATCTTTTTACAGTTCCCCATTTCTTATGCTGTGTTCATTTTTAGGAGCTGCCCTGTCTGCCCATCCTGGCTCACCAGTTCTCACAGTGTATGTGAGCCCCCCGTTCCCACTATTAGCCACCAGGTGGCACTTCAAACTAACTTTTTTGCAGAAACCATTTCTCAGATTGTGCTCAGGATTTTCTCAAATTTCTTTGTCCGGCTTTAAGATAGCTATCACTTTCCTCTCTTCAATGTACAGTGAAATACAATAAAGTTAAATAAAATAAAACTTTTATAATTGGCCTTTTACTGACGTCTTTCTGTTTTGGACTTTAGCATGTTCCCTTCTCTGAAGATGTTGCACCCGGGAAATACTCGCCACCCATAACACACTTGGACTGTGCAGCGTGAGTTACCCTCCCCTGGGCTGTGCAGAACCCGGACGTGCTCAGAGCCCGGGCAGCATCATGCTCACCTTAGGAAAGGTCACTATGAAGTCGTAGGCATTTGCCTCCCTGGCTGCCTGCTCCATCTCCTCTTCACTGACGCCTTCGTGCCCGAACTTGATATTGTTACCGATGGTGGTCCCAAACAAAACAGGCTCTTGGCTGACCACTCCGATGTGCTTTCGGTAATGCCTCACGTTTTGGGCTCGGATGTCTTTCTCATCCACTGTGATCTACCAAGCCAAAAAAAACAAGCAGGCTGTGATGCTGTCTGAGCTCTCGGCTTTCGGCTATCTTCTTAACCCGATGAATAAACCTAGAAGTAGTATCTTAGCAAAGACTGACTGTATTTTGATAAAATACTTAAGGTATGAATAACACCAGTAGATTTTTTTTCCTGGAAAATTGGAATAAACAAATCTTTACGAAACAATCAACTGAAAATCCCATGAAACTCCAAATTTTGTGTCAATAAGATACGCATACACAAACACTGTAGGTACCACAGATGTGGTTATGGAGACAGAAACCATCAGCTTTGTTGTTTTGAGACTGATGGCGCCTGGAAGGTGCTAGCTTTTATTTCTCAATGCCTGTTGAATCACAAAAGACAAAAGTTCCCTCTACTCATTGTTTTAATTAATAGTAAGGAAGCTGTCCTCCTAGGTAGAACTGTTACCGCAGCACATTCCAGGGACAGGACTAGATGTGGCTGGCAGAGGCCCAGCTCCTCACAGCCCTGCCACTTATGTGGGAATGGACACTGTTTTTACAGTCATCCAGTGATTTATTTAGTAAATGTTAGCTTGCACTCGATGTCTATGATATTTCACACACTGCTGAAGAGTCCTGAAGCTGTTAGAAGGGGAGCATGTTGTCACAAAAGATAATTTGCAGTTCGAGACAGCCAGCTATTTAAAAGACTTTTGCACAGTATATTTTTCACAGGCTATGCCTACATGAATTTAACCCCATCAGATGTGTAAATCTCTGGTGGGTAGGCCTTCTAAATATCAACTGCCTAACCTTGCCAATCTCATGAAAATTTCATTTTGTATATGGGGCTTTTCTTTCTGTTTGTGTATGTCTTTTATATTCTTTAAAGATTCATTTAGTGTGTGTGTGTGTGTGTGTGTGTGTGTGTGTGTGTGTGTGTGTGCACCTGTATGCATAGAGACCAATGTTTGGGTGTCTCCCTGGATTACTTTATTCCTTAGTTTTTGAGAGGGGCCTCTCAGGGAATCTGGAGCTCACCAGTTTATCCACACTGGCTGGTCAGCAAAGCCTCAGAGATCATTCTGTCTCCACCTCCCAGCACTGGGATTGCAGACGTACATCTGGCTAGCAAGCCTCAGAGGAACCCCCTCCTCCATCTTTATTTCCCTGGCACCAGGATTGCAGCTGTATCAGCCATGCATGGCCTGGCTTTAAGTGGGTGCTGGAACCACACAACAAGCCCTGAAACACTGCGCCTTCTCCCTAGTGCTTCCCACGTGGTTTTCCTAGCAGCCTGTACTTACGCAGCCTTCTTCTGGGTCATATAGCCTCTGCAGAAGCTGGACTGTTGTGCTCTTGCCACTACCACTGGGACCAACCAAAGCCATTGTCTCTCCAGATTTAATCTTGAGATTGAGACCTTTCAGAATCTGTTATGTACACAGAAAATGATACCATTAGATATGCTAGACAGTAATGTAACACAGCCAGAAAGTTAATCTGTAACTATAAACAGAAAAATTCTTATGTGGCACTTGAAAACAATTCAGGTCTCATATTTATTTGTATAATGTTTCATTTATATCTCTAATAATATAGAGTTTGGGAGTATAATATTTAAATTTTTCTCTATACAAAGAGATCTAATTTAAGAGTTAGCCAGTCACAGCAAACTGTTCACATTTTTTGCTTTTTCATTAGCATATTTTAATTGTATAAAAATAAATGGTTTCATTATGGCATTTTCTTACATGCATATAATATAGGTTGATCACATTCATCCCTCCATTGCTTTCTCTCTCCTGCTTCCCTCCCTCCTCTTGGTTTCCTTCCTCTTTCCAAATAAACTTCACATTTTTTCCCTAAGCATGCATGTAGTGTGTGTCATGTATATGTGTATTTGCATGTGTGCAGGTGAACATGCATGCATATGCATGCACTTGGAACCCTGAGGTTAACATCAGGAGTCTTCGTCACTTCTCCTTTTATGTATTAAGGCATGGTCTCTCTCTGAGCCTGGAACTCACTCTTTTAGTGAGTCTGGGTTGGTTAGTTTTCTTTGGGGCTTCCATCTCTGCCTCCCGCATGCTGGGATTACAGGTGGGCTCCCATACCCACCAGGCTTTAAGGGAGTGCTGGGAATCTGGACCCTTGTCCTCATGTTTGGATACTTGGGCACTTTACCTACTAAGCCCCTACCAACCATGCAAACTTCACATTTTTAAATGAAATATCTTACATGAATCTTTTTAAAATTATTTATTTATTTATTTATTTATTTATTTATTTATATTTTATGTGCATGGATGTTTTGCCTGCATGCATTTCTGTGTGAGGATGCCAGATCTCCTGGAACTTGAGTTACAGACAGTTGTGAGCTGCCGAGTGGGTGCTGGAGATTGAACCTGGGTCCTCTGGAAGAGCAACCAGTGCTGTTAACCACTGAGCTGTCTCTCCAGCCTCCTGTTGCCTGAATGAATCTTATGTCAACTAATTTATATCTTTTAATTTGTATCTTTTAATTGTATCTTTTAATTTGCAACAAATGAAATCTTGACAGGTAACGGTGAGTTACTCAAGAAAGTTCTTCATTAGAATAGTTCTAACATTTCTACAAGGTATATTCAAAAAAGCAGTTGGCAAGTCCACAGGGACACAGGCAAGATTTTAGCAGTTCTAGTCCCCTGCCTGGATCTAAGCACACAATTTAGCACAGTGGGAATATTCACAAACTCTTCTCCATGTCTGAGAGTCACTACCAGGTTTTAGTATCCCAGGGACTGGCCATATGAGAGCAGTCTCACTGATGATAAGAGCCACCTCCTGATACCTCAGAGACCTTTGCTTGACACTGCATGTTTTCAGCTCCAAAATGAGTCTCTCATTTTGATCTCATCATTTGTAAAGAAACAATATTTAAATAAGCACAGTGTGAAACCTTCAATGGGCCAACCAGAAAGGCATTTTTTTTTTTTAAAGGAGATGAGCATCCTGGATTATCTCTCCCATGTGAACTTTCACCCTCAAGTAGTTTCTTTTCATTCCATGGAAGAATGTGTCCTTCACTTAAAGTTGGTATGTTTAAAAATTAACTATTCAGCCTAACAGAAAGGGTTATGTTAAAAAATTAACTTAAGGTCTGGGGAGATGGCTCAGCAGGTAAAAATGTTAGCCACATAAACCAGATGACTTGAGCTCAATTCCCGGAACCCATGTAAAAAAAATTCACCTAGGAAGATCACAGGTCAGCTAGCATTGTGTGTCCATCAAATCAGCAGAAACAAGAGAGGAACCTATCTCAACAAGTTGGAAGGGGGAGAGCCAAGTCCTGAAAGCTGAGCTGTCCTCTGACCTCCATCTGTGCAAAGTGGCAGGTGCCCCTTCCTGCTCCCATGCACACCCACAAATTAATTTAAAACAATTATTTACCCAAATACAGTGGCACACAGCTGTCCCCGTTTGAGGCCAACCGGGGCTATATAGTGAAAACCCAGCTTCAAAATAAAGAAACAAAAGATTTGTTTAGAACCCAGAGACCATGGCTCAGAGCATTATAATGGCACAACTGGTGCTCAGGGATCAGAAGCCAAGGTAAATGTATATTCAAAATGAAGTCTAAAATGCTCTGCTAAGAGATAATGAAACAAACAAACAAAAACTGGTGCAACAATGGTAAGTGACAAACAAATCTTAAAACAAAAGACTTTGATGAGAGAGTTCCAGTAAAAAGATTAGTCAGAGAAATAACAGGTAAGTAGGAGTGGACACATCATTTTAATGCAAATTCTGTAAAGTACATTAGAGGTTGATGCAACAGTGATCTCATCTGTCTCACTTAAAATTGTTCCTCCCATTTTTCCTGATTATGAATTTGATTAGTAGCTGACTTTTTCCATCTTAAACAACACTATGTTGGGGATGGTTAACAAGGGGAGTAAATGCATTAATTAAATGTAATAAAAAAGTTAACAGGAGAGACAGATGTGTTTTCCAAAGAGCTATTTGTTTTTTTAAGATTAGTTTATTGAGTGTACTCCAAGAGGGCAGTAGGCTGGGCATTAACTAGACTGTAGTCTGCTTTAAACTGTTAAAAGTATCAAAGACACAGTTGCTGATGTAGTACAAGTTTCAAAGATGGGAGAAGGGAAGGCCCAGCAGGTGTGAAATACCTAGTGGTTGGAAACTCCCATGTTCAAATAAGTGAACTGCAGCTGGATAATATCCAGGGGTCACCAGGAGGTGGCAGCACTCATTAATCCAAGACATTTTGGTGCATTCGGAAATGCAGAGTGGAGGACACACAGGGAGTTAAAAATGGCACCTATCAGTCAACTAACTATAGGAGAGGCTGGAAAATATAAATCATTGTTCTGAGAGATATTTGCCCATTGCTTATCAGTCAGCCTAGCTATCAGTCTAACTGAATCTCTAGGCCAGTAGTCAAAATCTGGATCAAAATTATCCTAGAGAGGGACTAAGGAGATGTCTCTCTGGGCAAGCACTGGGCATGCAAGTGTGAGGACTGTAGTTCAGTTCCCTAGCACTCATGACTAGCTAGACTGGATAAATTGGTGAGCTTTGGGTTCAAATAGTTCCTCAACACGTAAGGTACAGAATGATAAAGGAGGATACCAAAAGTACATCTCTGGCCTTCACGGACATATGTACACACGTACAAGTACACCCCCACAGGTGAAAATGCATATGCATACAAACCAAACATACAAAAGCAAAAGAATCTTTTTAAAAAAATCCCACAATAGAAGATTCTGGCCAGAAGATAATGTCAGAAAGCAGTACGATACAACTGAATTTAACCTACCTTGACAGACGGTCTTGATGGATAGCTGAAAGAAACATTTTTAAATTCTATGTTTCCTTCTATACATTCAGGTTTATATCCAGTTGTTGAAAAGTTATCTATATTGGGTTTCTTGGAAGAAGAAGAAAAAAAAAAAAAAACGAAGAGACTGTTATACATCTTTAAAGGGCTAAGCTGATACTGCCTCTATTCCACAATAGTTTAGAGATGGGCCTTAAGTTTCTTTTTAAATTCCCTTCCTGTTTTAGAAGTGCATGAAGAAGCCGGGTGGTGGTGGCACATACCTTTAATCCCAGCACTCAGGAGGCAGAGGCAGGCGGATCTCTGTGAGTTCAAGGCCAGTCTGGTCTACAGAGCATGTTCCAGGCCAGGCTCCAAAGCAATACAGAGAAACAACCCTGTCTGGAAAAACAACAACAAAAAAATAAAAATAAAAAATAAAAAATAAATGAAGAAGTGCGAGTAGTTAGACACGAAGTTTTCAATTAAAACAAAAATTCTCCACAAAAGAGTTAAACACAGTCTTTCATCCCATAACCTAATGACCACGTGGTTTTACTGAAACGAACGTGCCTGTCTTTTGGGCTCCTTCTTGCAATAAGGACTGTTATATTTTAAAACAACGAGAACTCCTACCTTATCAATAAGCTGGAAAATATTAAAGGCAGCTCCCCGGGCTATGGTGAAGGTTTCCAAATGAGGGGTTGCAGATCCAATGCAATAACTACAGTGGATCACACTGAAGAAAACCTACAGAGACAGAGTAAACTATACTCAGCTTTTTGCAGTGAGAAAGACAATGGGGTGGAGGACATGTGTGGCCTAGGTCTTCTTCAAAAGGCGTAATTGCTCTTAACCACTGAGCCACCTTCCATCCTTGTGTAGTTCATTTTAAACATGGCTAAATGATGGAAAGGAGAAAGGAGCAACAGAGGGATCCAAACTCCTGTAGGACTTGCAGTTAGCAACATCTCTGTGGACCATGATTTAATCCCAGGAAGCCTGAAAGGAAAGGTCTCACTACAGACTAGCCATTTCCATTGCTAGATTAAGAAAAATGTGTTTATTCATGGGGAATTCAATTATGACTATGATTCTTCTGAAAGCATGATGCTTGGCACAGTGAGGACACAAAACATGTTAGATGAATAAATCACACACACACACACACACACACACACACACACACACACACAAATTTGAAAGTACATCCAATCATGAGAAGGTAAAAATGTTTGTTTGAAACATATTGAAGTATCATCCTCACTCAAAGTGTAATTTTTTTTTACTAAACTCTACATAAGGAAAGATGACCTAAGCCTGCTGCTGCCTTTGTTTACAAACAAGACTTACAGCAAGAATAGTCCCAATGGTGTAGCCAGGCTCTCCACTGAAAATCAAGGAGGTTCCATACCAAAAAGCCAGTCCATAGGCTCCATTCATAAAGAAGTAGACAGCTCCAAGAGACAGTTTTGAAGCTATAGCCTTCTTTATGCCAGCATCCTTTGCATCTTTTAGATTCTGTGTGTACCTTACAAAGACAAAACACAAAGTAGCCTTTGGAGAAAACAAAACCCAGCACTTTTCATCATAATTAAAGCAACAGACCTTTGGATTTCTTTCTCTTGGGCTCCAAAGGCTGTGACTGTTCGTATCGATGACAAGACTTCTTCAGCTACAGCCCCAGCTTTGGAATAGGCATCCAGCTCCTTACTAGTTAATGACATGACCATCTGCAGTAAACACAACCACGGTTAGACAAAGAATGACTCTGTTGTGGTTTGAATGCTAAATGTTCCCCAGAGGCTCAGCTAGCGGTGTTATTTTTGGGGAATCTATGGGACATTTAGAAGTGGGGTCTAGCTGATGACATTGGCTATCACAGGTGGGTATAGCCACTTCTGGCTTTATCTCTTTCTCTACTTCCTGGTCCTTGGAGATAGGAGACCCAGCCTCTACCTTTCCTGTCATGGTGAACGAAAACAAACTCTAAAACTCTGTCTCTCTTGTTATTTATGCCACAGTGCTGTGGGAAACCCTTTGAAGATTTGTTGTTGTGATTGGTTTAACAAACACTCTAACTGGTGAGTAGCTGAACAGGATAAAGTTAGGGGGGAAAGCCAAACTGAGAATGATGAGATGAAGAAGGTCAGAGAGAGAGGAGTCACCAGACAGACAGAGAATGAGTCGGCTTACAAAATGGGATAGAAGTAAAGGCCAAGAGCCTTGTGGCAGTCAGTAATAGATTAATAGAAGTGGGTTAAGTTGTAAGAGCTAGTTAGTTATAAGCCTGAACTATTGGCCAAGCATTTATAACTCACAGTCTCTGAATGCTTATTTGGGAACCGGTGAGCTGGAGAGAAATGTCTGTTTACACCACCGCAAAACAAAACTGACTCCAATGGTTAGTTTTAATTGTCAGCTTGACCTATCTAGAATTACATCAGCCTGGCCTATGAGCATGTTTATTGAGCATATGCTGATCATATTAATAGAGGTGGGTAATGCTGCCCATTACAGGTGGCTCTATTCCCTTGGCAGGTGGTCATAGGTTGTGCGGAAAACGAGAAGGCTGATCCCAAGCATGCACACATTTCTCTCTCTCTGCCCTCGACTGCTGCTTTGACGCCCCTGCTGTGTTGGTTGGCAGCCTGGAACTGTGAGCTAAAACAAATCCTCCTCTCCTAAGTTGCCTTTGTCAGAGCAGTTTTTCACAACAGCAGGAAAGAAAGCCAGGGCCTTTGCCAATAGAGACTAGAGGCAGTGACAATTTACAGGGCACTTAACCCACACACACGATTTGAATCCTGAGTAGCTTTTCATTCCCCAGTATCTAAATCCTTATAGGACTTTTTCTTCTACCAGTGATGCTCCACTGTTTTCTCTCTGTATTTTAAAAAGCTTCTTTTAGTTGTGAATAGTTTTACTGGAATGATGGGGGATATTTGACTTGGAAAAGGACCTTAGAAACATTTGTTTTATGGACACTGGGAATCAGTGAGCCTTATTTGAATTGATTTTTTTTCCTATGCACAAAGAAAAGATTCCAGTAGGAATAGGTCACGTGACTATGGCAGGAAGAGGAGCTTGGTCTCGCACATGTATGGGAAATAGTCTTACAACTGTTACTGTTCGTACATGCTGAAGTATGCTCAGCTTTATTTCTCAACAATAGGAGGTGAGACTTAAAGTGAAAAAGGAGATCATTACTATTGATGGAAGTAGGTAGAATTATCTGATTTCTCAAAAATCTGAAATAACAAGTATCCCTTCCTCTATTATGAACCATTTGCCATTCCTTTGTAGTCCTAATTAGTTAAACGGTTTAGTGAGAGGGAACAGCAGAAATACCATTTCAAGCTGGGAGTTTGATATTGTCTACTTGTATAGCAAGCTACCTGTTTCCAAAATACCAAAGTACAATGCATGCAATTGCAGTGGATTTGGTGTACAGCAAGTTTGAGTGGCTGGTAAAGTCATGGGAAGGCATAAATTGAATACTGAGGCCTTAATAGGGGTTACTATTGCTTGATGAAAAACCACGATCAAAAGAAACTTGGGGAGGAAAGGGATTACTTTGCTCACAGTTTCATACAACATTTCTACCCAGTTCTATGAACTACTATGAACTATGCATCCACTGGAGGGTTTTAGAATACACAATGCTCTGTCAGCAACAACTAAATGTCCAATGTGCAGCCATCATTCTCTATATGTGCTACCTACCCTTTGAAGCAACACTAGGCTATTTTTCCTGTTAGTAAGATATTGACGAAAATCACATCTTAGCCATCTAATTTGAAGATATAGAGATTTAGAGGTGATTACTTGTTAAAACCTCCCCCCTCCTTCCTCCTTCCCTCCCCCAGCCATACGAGTGTTAAGTTCACAAATGTCACTGCCATCAAACCAGCTGATGTCTTGTGCCAAAATTGAATGAAAAAACTGTTTTCGAATTCTCGTGGTTTGCCGGGCAGCGGTTATGACCCAGAAGGAAATCTGTATGTAGCCAAAAACGAGGGCAGAGGCTCCTATCCCAACATAATACAGAGTCAACCTGAGGGAAGATGATTGGAACATTAGGCAGAAGCACAGCTTTTCCCTGTGATAAGACAAACAAAACAAAAACCATCAACAACTACCAAAAATAGAAAAGAAATCTAATACATGGTAAAATTTATTCTGGAACCTAGAAAATAACTAAAACACCAATAATAACAGAATGAACATTGAATAGTATTCTAAGTTTCTCTTTATAACATTTAGAGCATATTTTTGACATTATTAGTAGAAATTAGTACTTTAAAGCATGTTTCTTCTATCTCCTTTCAGTATTTATAATACTTTCAGGTGGAGAAGTTACATTGAGGCAATTAAGCTAGGTGCAAATGAAATAGGAGGGGAAGAAAATGTCACTATTTCACAAACAACTGACAGGGTGTGTGTGTGTGCTCGTGTGTGTGTGTGTGTGTGTGTGTGTGTGTGTGTGTGTGTACATATATATCACTCATTCTAAAATTCTCTGTAAGGATCTTATGTTAAGGTAATATATACAAAAGTTAAATTCTGTGGGTAGTCATTTTAGTGATCATAATAATACAGAAGAGTTGAAAGGAATGTTCACACCTGTGGTGGTTTGAATGTAATTGACCCCCATAAACTCATAGGGAGTGGTACTATTAGGAGGTGTCGTTTCGTTTCGTTGGAGTAAGTATGACCTTGCTGGAGGAAGGGAGGAAATGTGTCACTGTGGAGGCAGGCTTTGAGTTCTCATGTATGCTTAAGCTATGCCCAGCATCTCAGTCCACTTCCTGTTGACTGTGGGTCAAGGTGTAGGACTCTCAGCTCCTTCTCCAGCACCATGTTTGACTGCATGCCACCATGTACCACCATTATAATAATGTACTAAGCCTCTGAAAATGTAAGTAAGTCCCAATTAAATGTTTTTCCTTTATAAGAGTTGCCATGGTCATGGTGTCTTTTCAGATATTCCTTGAGAAATATGTCCTGCTTATTGATTGTCAGCCTGTACATCCATCCTTGAGCTCAGTGACCCTCATATTCCTAACAGGGAAGGAGAATCTGAAAAGCTCTTGTATGGGGGCCTCATGGTAATGCCCTCTTTACATGGGAGTCTCATCTGTAGCACTCTCTGTGAAGCACCAGGTCGACCCTGGTGACCCCTTTACTATGACACAGGTGTTTTGATTCTCAGTGCTTCATATTTTGTGTTTAAACAATGAAATACTATACCCTTTGTTTAATATACAACTCTTCCAAACAGAGTTGACAATAGACCAGGATACAAGGCATGAAAGAGGGGAGACACCAAAGATGATTTCCTGGCCTTTAGTTGAGTAGTGTGGTCAGTTGAGTGCCATTCACAGACATGGGGACTAGGAATATGATAGATTTTCAGACATTATCAAGAGTTCTGGTTTGGACATATTAAATGTACTAAAATGGGAGTCTGAAGACTAAAGGGCTAGAGAAGGAACTAGGATGGAGATAAAATTTTGAAAGCCAGAGCTTCCATGCAGAATCCCAACAAACAGGCCGAGTGAAACCACTCTGGGAGACAAAATATTAAAATGTGGGTCAAGAAAAGAGGGACAAGGACTGAATTCAGGAATTCTACAGGCAGGTGGTATCTGGCCTGGAGAGAAAGCCTTCAAAGAAAGTAGAGAAGTGGTTGGAACTCAAGGGAGTGAAACACTTGATAAAACTAAAGAATAAAATAATAATGGTGCTCGTCAAGGATTTAAATACAGATTTGTCTAGTACTAAACTTTGTTTTTATCTCCAAAGTGAAATAATTGTTTGTTTGATGCAACATTCCCAACTGAGGATTAGAAAGTTTACTTTGCCATCTTATGTTCAGCTCTCCGAACAAAACCCTGTCATCCTGATGGCCTCATTTTTGTGCTTCTGTTTACGTCTTTGCTGTTTATGACCAATCCCAAGCATTAAACTGAAGTGGCATCAAGTGGAATGGTGGTACATGCCTTTAATCCCATCAGGAAGCATAGGCGGTGGACTTCTGTGAGTTCAGGCTAGCCTAGTGTACACAGAGATTTCTATGCTGGTCAGGGATACATAGTCAGACAGATCCTGTGTCAAAAAATAAACAAAAATGCTAATAGCTTCCTTTAAAAAACTGACAAAGACATCCTAAAATGTATGTAGGAGTGTATAGGACTCAAAATAGCCAGGACAATTTAGAAAAGGAAATTGTTCTGGAGCTTAATTTCTGATTTTATTAATTTGTTAACTAAAACAGATACTATAGTAAAGAAGAAAACAGTCTGGTGCTTGTGTAAAGGCAGATGTATCGATAATTACAAAATTTCAGGGGCTAGCAATTAATCTTTACAGTGACAGATGGTTGGTTTTGAGCAAAAGTAGCAAGCTGTGTGGTTGACAAAGTACAGCCTTGTCTTTAAATGTTCTGGGACAACATGTGAGAAAGCTGAGGTTAGACCTTTCCTTAGTCGCTAATTAACTCAAAACGGACCACAGGCCGACAGGTAAGGGCTAAGCCATGAAAGCTTCCAGGAAAATAAAAGAAACCAACAGTAACTCTGGTTTGCTCAAAGAGTTCTTAAATCCAAAAGCACAATCCGTAAAACACAACTCGATAAATTGAAATCCCTCAAAATGTAAAACTTCTGTGCTTCAAAAGAAGCCTTTGAGAAAACTGTGGGAGAAAACGTTGTCTGTCAAATCTGAGAAAGAACATGCACCCAGAATTTATAAAGAGCTCTTTCAGCTCAATCATATGAGAGTGTCACAGTTTTAAAAAAAATCATGTATGTCACAGAACATCAGTTAACAGGTGTATCCACAGGCAGATGTACCCACTGAGTCCATAAAAAGTGAAGGAGACTGAGGACGTGAATTTAGAATTTTATTTAACTTCAATCGACTCGTGTCTGTAGACACAGGTGGCTGTGCCTACCATATCGACAGTTCATGGTGGCACATTCTTGGAACTTTACCCTTGGATGGAGGTTAAAGTAGGAAGACCATGAGCTCAAAGCTGACTTAGCTACAGGGAGAGTTCTAAGTCCCAGTTGTACTGACTGTTTTAAACAGCAAATAAATGAACAGTCAAGGCCCAGAAGAAAATACTAGGTGTCACTCTGGTCTATTCGAAGGCTTGAAAATTTTAGTGTGAAAGTATAGAAATCTAGTGAAGAAACCCAGTAAAGAAGAAATGTTTTAACTCAGCATGTAGTGGTCAATAAAGTCAAGCCTACTATTTTTCTCATAATTTACAAAACAATGCCTTTATGATTTTTTATTATTCAGGGGTTGTGATTATTAATCTAAATACAACTTAGTCTCAAACTTTATTTTTGTTAAAATTTTAAGAATTACTTGCTTCACTGTATTCACTTATGTCATCTTCCTTCTTTACTTCCATAGTAGCGCCTTCCTTTGTTTTTTTGTTTTGGTGATGCTGAGCATCAAACCCAGGGCCTTACACGTACTAAGCTCTTCCAATAAATTCTCTTGTTAGTTCATCTTTTAAATTTGAAAATTTAAATCGAATTTTTCTATAATGGTTGAAAAGATTATTTTGAGTTGAGGGAAAACAAATCCTTTACTCTTTGAGAGATGTATTTTGGTTCTAGGGTCAAAACTGGCATAAAAATCATAGATTCTCACAGCTTTTCTCTTGGTGACAATTTTGCCAAATAAAACTCAGAGAATATAACTACATACTTTTTATTTTTTCATTCTTTTGTATGTGTAAATTTATGTATATGTTCACACACATGTGTGCCTTCACATACAAAGGCCAAAGGTCAACATTAGTTGTTTTCTTCCATTGCACTCCATCTTACTTTTTGAGACAGGGTCTTTTGCTGAACTAGGAGCTTGCTGACTCAACTAAAAAGTGTCTTGTTAGTGAGTTCCAGGGATCTGTCTGTCTCCCTCTCCCCAGTGCCTGGCTTTATCAAGGGTGGTGGGGATTTGAATTTAGTTCCTCACGCTTGCACACCAAACACCTTACTGAAGGAGCCATCTCCCCAGAATCATGCCTTTTAAATAGATGGGGAATTATATGGAATGAAAGAAAAAGCATGTTTACTTTAACCATATAATATAAATAATATAAATAATTAAGGTTTCCAGTTTTTTTTCCTAGTAGGTATTGGATATAGCAGCATGCAAGAATCAGGGACTTAATTCTTCATTTGGACTTACCTAATGATATCTTCATTGAGCTTCTCTGGAGAATCTGAACAGTTCTGATAGTTCGCTGTAAAAAAGTTGTCTTTTTTAATTATAAAGGAAATTATTTAATAATTAGCCATAGTGTTTCATAAGTATCCCTCCAAACCAAATACATGACTTTTGTTTGCTTGGTTGCTTTTATAGAAAATGGAAATGTGGTTTCATAATCCTTTGCTACAAGAACTATCTCTTCTCTCAAGAAATATTTCCCAAAGTGAAAAACAAGAGATAACACTGACTGTGTAGTTCACAAAAAGAGTTCTCTAGGACACCTTTAAGAGTTAGCTGACAGCTGGGAGAGTTACAGCAGCAGCAGCCCATTTTCTGCCCAAGATTATGCTTTTTAGATTTAAATTCAACATGTCCCAGAGATTTAGAAAGTTCAAGAAATGCAAGTCCACGGGGAAGTTCTAAAAGTTGTCTGGGCAAAGAATGGATACAAATATAAGAGAACCACATAATAAAACTGTTTCAAACACTCTGGAGGTGGTGGAACACACCTTTAATCCCAGCACTCGGGAGGCAGAGGCAGGCAGATCTCTGTGAGTTTGAGGCCAGTCTGGTCTATATAGTGAGTTCTTGGATAGCCAGGGCTATGCAGAGAAACTCTGTCTTCAAAAAGCCAAAACCAAACCAAAAAACCAATACCTGCCCCCCCAAACCCAAACATTTCAATGCCATTTTTTGTGTGTATTTTCTAGAAAAAAATCTTTAGCCAACCACACAAAACCGTAGTCAGTACCCTATGTTACGATTTTTCTTTCATACACCTCTATAATAAACATTTGGGAAGAACTGCAAACTTAGATGTTCTTCATCTGTTATATCCCATATAATAATGTCTGAATTTATTTATATATGAATAGTCATTCCCCATCATTCCATTTATGGAATCCTGATACATAATTTTAACTGATTTCAAAAAATTATAATTGCTATTGAAGGAGTGAAGGTAATAAATCTTAATGGAGATATTAAATGAAATTTAACCCAGCTCCTAAAGATAATCATCACTGCCTTAAAATGGTATCACATTGACATAGAAATTGTGTAATCTCAATTTTGAGATTCTAATTAATAGAAGTAGTCTAAGTCAAAGTTTAATGTCTGCACAAAAGGGAATGGACAAACAATGTCAGTTACTATTTTCATTTTGTTTGGGGCAAATAAATAGCCCTCCTTTATTATTCTCCAGAAATTAACATTAGTAATTGCAAAGCAATCTTTAAAATGTTGAAAGACTACCCCTTATATTCTTACTCCTCTTTAAACATTTATTTTTATTTTATGTGTGTGAATGTATTGCCTGCATGTACGTGTTCCACTTACAAGTCAGGTACCCATGGAAGTCAGAAGAAGGCATCAGATTCCCCTGAAACTGTGTTGTGCTGGGAACTAAACCCACATCCTCTGCAAAAGCAGCAAGTGCTCTTAACCACTAAACTACCTACCCAGCCCCCAAACATCTCTTTAGTAATATGCAATATAACAATAATATCCCCCAAAAGTTATCTAAATCCAAACTGCTCTTATGTTCACCGTGGTGATGGTTAATCACGATTATCACCTTGAATAGACTGAGAAATGCTGGGAAAACTAGAAAAACACACAGTGTGAGTCTGTGAGGGCATTTTCTGGGACAATTGTCAGATGGGACAACGGAAGGGGAAGCCTAGCCCCAGACGTAGGCAGCAGTGTTATCCTACAGATGCCGGGGTGTGACAAAAGCCGAAGGAAGAGGTGTCACAGGCTTGCTCTCTGCTCTCCTTGCCTCTTACCCACCATGAGGTAAGCATTTTTGGTTTGCTGTGCACACCACCACACCCATTCCCTATAGTGCTCCTTATCTTTACCTATAGAGCCCACCCTCTTGGTCACATTTACTTTGTAAAGGAGTTTCTAATTAGCCACACCTAAACTTTATTGTGCATTTGGAATTGGAATGATTGTTGACCGGAAACCTGGAATGGTACTTATTGTTGCCTGGAAACTTTTCCCCAGATTGTACTGTGTTTTAAATATGCTGACAGTGAACAGCCTGGAATTAGACTCCCTGAAGTCTGATCCAGGCTGATGAAGTCAATCTGAACTGAGTTTTCATTCTTGTCACTTAGCAGGTCCACTTCACTGACTGAACACCTGCAGGGTCCCCTCATTTTTGCATACACATTGTGTGTGTGTGTGTGTGTATGTATGTGTGTGTTTTCAGACATGTGTCTGTAAGTGAATGTGTCCATAGTCCTGTGAACCAGTTCCTTCCTCCTCATCTCCCCCTTTTTCCCTCCATCTCTTCTTGTCTTCCTCCCCTCTCTCTTTCTTTCCCTTTTGCCCTTTTCTGCCCCCACTTCCTCTTACCCTCTCTTTTCCTTCTTGTCTTTCTTTCTACTGCCCTTATCTATCTTTGCAGACACACATCTTATTGGTGATTTTTCTGACGAGCTCTATGACAGACTTTGATTATTTAGTGCCAAGTAACCTAGGCTTAAGTGCATATTATATAAATAGTTTTATAATGATCTGTAGGATCAATGTCTGATTAACTTTATTTAAGGTATTTGATTCCCCAGTAATACAGAAAGATCTTGCACTTACTTCTGTTAGTTTGGAGTAGGCATTCATTAGTAAAATGATCAGTTATTTCTCCTAAAACCAGAGACATTAAAGGAACAGTGGCTCCATTTACCAAGGATGCTAGTATTCCCAGGGTCATGAGGGCAATGTCCAGACTATCAGCAAAGCGGAACTGAGAAAACAAGAGTTGGAAATAATTACTGTTGTAAAACTCAAGCAAAACTACCACCTTACTGTAGGGGATGCTGTAGCCATGCCTGCTTAGGGGCTGGCTATAGGTGTGCCTGACCACACCTGCGAGGGTGTGGTAGGGAAGGTTTAAGGGTGAGGGATGTTCACAAGGTGCCCTGCTTTCGCTTTCATCTTCAGCTTGCTGTACTTACTGCTGCCCCGCCGGCTGGCTGGGTCCCTCTGTAAGTGAGGCTTTTCCCTATTAAATTCCCTTGTATTTTTACCTGACTCCATATTGGTAATTCCCACATTACCTTACAGCTCTTTCCATGAAGCAAATGTTACCTAATCAACTGATTATGAGATTAAATCAACCACAAAACAAGGGCATGCCTTTATCTATACAGTAAAAAGCAAACAAACAGGCACCCAGTCTTAGCTCTTAAAGATTCACATCAAGGTTTGAGGAGGGGCTGAAAAACAAATCAGACCAAACAATACAAAATATATGAAAACATATGTGGGCATGATTCTGAAGCTTCTTTTGGAATGGATTATTATAAAGGACTTGATGAAAAGACAATCTGCAAATTTTCAATCATCAGTATTGTTGCACTGCCATCACTAACTGTAAACATCCTGTTGGTAAAAGTGTGCTGAGTTATATTTGTGATTTTTTTAACGTTTTTTTTATATATTAAATTTGCCCCAAACAATGATGACATTCAGGGATGTCTGTAGTAGATGGAATGCCTGAAAGTCAAGCATTGGATGCTCTGTCTTGTAACAATTCCCCACAATGCCAATCGAAAACCAAACCATAAATGACACTTGTGCCATTTTTTTAAATCATGATGAGAGAGGAGGATTAGAATGTAAAGTATGCTGTACTGCATTAGATATGAATAGCACCAGGCAGGCTTAGTGCCTATTATGTGCATGAAAACTGTATTGTTTGTTCACTCATTGCAATAGCTCAGTAGTAATTATGAAGAAACCAACATAGTATTTTTTCAGCACTGCATATGATAAATATGTGTTTGCTTTCACCTGCATAGTGTGCTATCTTATTTTTTAGATTAAATATTTTGAGAACTTCATATATGAATACATTTCATTTACATAATTTTTTCCCTTCCTCTCCCCTCTCCAAGTCATTCCATGTCACCCCAAGTCCCTCTTGAATTCATAATATCTTCTATAATTATTATCGTTACACATATACACAACACCCACACATGCACACTCATGTATAAACACACATATCACACTATTAAACCCATTAATGTCCACATGTGCAAGTGTTTGGAGGTTTGTTGTCTTCTTAATAAAGTTATGCACGTTTTCATACTTCCTAGGTTTTTAACTTTTGAATAGTCAGAAGTTGTTTCATGTGTGTTTCATGTGACATATAATTTTAGTTGTCAACTTGACACACCTAGGAAGAGGAAACCTCAACTGAAAATTGCCTCCATCAGAATGTTCTGCAGGCATGCCTGTGGAGTGTTTGTTTGATTTACAATTAATGTTGATGGGCCCAGTCAACTGTGGGTACTACCATCCGTAGGCAGCTGTCCTGGCCTATTAAATAAGTTATCTGAACATGAGTCTGAGAACAAATCAGTAAGCAAAGTTCCTTCCTGGTTTCTATTTCAAGCTTCTGCCTTGAACTCCTCCCTTGGCTTCCCTTATTGATGAACTTACATGTAGATTAAAATAAACCCTTTTCTTTCCAAGTTGTTTTTGGTCATGATGTTTATCACATAGTCAGAAACCGAGCTACAACAGTTGCTATATCACTGACAACTAAGCAAAGAGATTAGTGTTGGGGGGGTGGGGTAGATTTCTAAGAGGATATGCATGACAGCTGTCTTAGTTTGGGTTGTATTGCTGTGAAGGGACACCATGACCAGAGCAATTGTTATAAAAGAAAACATTTAACTGGGGCTGGCTTACAGTTTCAGTGGTTTAGTCCATTATCATCATGGCAGGAAGCATGGGTGGCATGCAGGGAGACATGGTGTTGGAAAAGGAGCTGAGAGTTCTACATTTTGATCTGAAAGTAGGAGATTGTCATACTGGTTGTGGCTTGAGCATATACGAGACCTCAAAGCCTACCCTCACAGTGACACACTTCTTCCAACAAAGCCACACCTACTCCAACAAGGCTACACCTCCTAATGGGCCAAGCATTGAAACACACGTATCTGTGTCCTATAACTTACAAGTTATGTGGAATTTAGCAATAGGATTTTAGTATCAAGTTCTGGAGGGAAACTAAAAGCAATGGCAACATCCTGTAGTGTTTGGGGGAGGATTATGGGACCCCAATGACCAACAACATGAAAAGAGTCACCAAATTCCAGGCACTGAGCTTTTTATTTGATAGCCTATGCCACCCCAGGGAGGCACTGTCTGTCTATTGTAGGGTAATTCCATTTAAAATCACTCTCTCTCTCTCTCTCTCTCTCTATATATATATATATATATATATATATATATTATATGCATATATATGTATGTGTGTATGATATATATGCATGTGTGTGTACTCACATACATATACACACATGTATACACACACACACACACACACACACACACACACGTACACACGTACACACACATATAAAAGCTTCTACAATAGTAGGTGTCCATATGGTGTTTTCAAAAGTTTTAATGCTATTTATTCATTCTCAGTATTTTTTCTTCTACTCTGCCCTCTCATCCCTCCACCCCACTTAATGCTTTCTGCTCCATTGAAAGCTGCATCACTTTTGATTAGCTTTCATAGTGCTAGAAGGTACTATTCTAGCTACTGGGGGGATTAATCAACAATCTCACCCAAATGTAAACCCTGTGAACTAGAATAACAACTGGCTTGGCATGATATGTCTGATGGTGCATTAATGGTACAAACATCATGGGCATAACCAGTCACTTTCTGATTGGATTTAAGGCCTATTCCACAGGGTATAATTCATGCCTGGTATTGTCAACTGGGCAAAAATCCAATGGCTTGATAGTTTGCAGACTCTAGGGGAGAACCTAATAGTGTAATTCTGACAATGGATATGACTCTAGGGGAGAACCTAATAGTGTAGTTCTGACAATGGATATAGTATCAAATTGCCCCCAAGCTCTATATTTATACCTATAGATTAGTGCATTTCTCAACTGTCATTAGAGAACCTTCTTTTTAAAGTATATGGTAATACAGCAAACCATCACTGGTCAATATGATGGAAGAAGAGACTGTGGAGTGCTTAGCTCTAAGTAGGACACCTATATTATACTCCCTCCTTCCAAGGCTCAGGGATCATGGTGGAAGAGGAAGTAGAAAATCTCTAAAAGAATATAGTATGAAACATCAAGAGGGAAGTATTTTACAGATATAACAATGCCTACGGAACCCATTAACTCATAGTTTTTGGGACAGCATGCATAAAACCTGTACAGGATCAAACCAGACAAAATCCCAGCATAGATTCAGGAGAGATTCATGAAGTCCCATCCCTAACAGGAACCATTGGCAATCGATGGCTTCTGGGAATGAGAGTTAGTTGTCTTTAGGGATGATGTCCCTAAGAGGCTACCCATGCTCCAATAGCTGGCCCTATATCTATACACCTACTGGTAACACCAAGTGGACTCAGTGGATTGGAGGGAATTGGAGGTTGATTTGAACAAAATTTCTTACATGCATATATGATATTCTCAAAGAATAAAAGAGTTAAAAAGAGGTTACTTGAAAAAAGGATTTGTATACTAGCATCGTACATTAATGCATATATATTGGAACTTTCCCCAATGTAAACATAGCAAATGTCATGAGGAAGCATCCGTGTTGTTGAACAATCTCTGGTAGCATTTACCTCATCACATCCAGAACTTTATGCTGCTCAAAAGCTATGTAGGTACTGCATGTTTTTCTTATCTCTTATTGTGGAGCTTTGAGATGTTTTTAATTTTGTTGTTTTGGAAGATCACTTTGGTGGTTTGAGTAAGAGTGGCCCCCCACAGACTCATTTATTTGAATGTTTAATCACCAGGGAATAGAACTGTTTAAAAGGATTAGAAGGATTAGGAGGATTAGGAGGTGAGGCCTTGTTGGAGGGTGTGTGTGTGTGTGTGTGTGTGTGTGTGTGTGTGTGTGTGTGACTAGGGGTGAGGCTTCAAAAGCCCACACCAGGCCCAGTGTCTCTTCTCTCTCTGCCTGTGGATCAGGATGTAGGTCTCAACCACTTCTCCAGCACCATGCCTGCCTGCTGCTATGCTCCCTGTTGTTATACTCCCTCCCATGAAGAAAATGAACTAACCCTTTGAAACTGTCAGCAAGCCCCCAGTTAAATATTTTCTTTTTTAAGAGTTGCCTTGCTCATGGTGTCTCTTTACAGCAATGGAACACTGTCTATGACATTCACTATGATGAATATCTTTCTAGTTTCCCATTTTTTTTTCACACAGAGGTTGTAAACTACCAAACAAATATAAGCATCCCATATGCTATTGTCAATTCCCACAATTTCTAATGCACACGCTTGCATTCTGGTTTTACTTACTATCTCAATAGGTCCAACAGCTTGGTTTCCTGTTTTTGGTAGTTGTTCTTGCAGAGCTCTGCAAAACAAATGTGAAAACAGAAAAGGTAGAGTATGAACATAATTTTTAAAATTGTCCAATTAACATTTTGCCTAAGTGTGAAAAATTGCCTTTGGCAGTAAATTTATATAAATTTATTAAATTTCAAAAGCAGAGTTATTGACGGGGAGTGCAAATTTTTTTTAAAGAAAAGCCATTGGTAGTGGCTTTGGAATTTGGCAGTGGCTCTCCTTATAGAAATGAATCCATGCATCTGGAGTGAAAATGTTTAAATTTTGTTAAAATATTCATAGCAGATGACATTGTTGTAACCATCTTAAATGACAATGAGGGCACCAAATGCATCCTTCACACAACCCACAGAACTCTTTTTTCATTCTGCAATACTGATTCCCTGTGTCTCTTGAACATATTTCCTTGTCTATTCCCTCAGCCACCATTCTGCTTCTTGTTGTGGCTAAGAACCTGACAACCCTAGGAGTCTCATCCAAGTGAAATCATACAAGACGGTCCCTTTTGTGATTGGCGTGAGGTCTCCAAGGCTCATATGGGATTTAGTCACACAAGCTTTGAGTTTCCTGTAGCATGTCAGAATTCCCCATCCTCATTTTAAGGCAGACTACTATCCTTACTGTACTCCATGTCCTGTTACCTTTTCGAATCAGTCAGCACACACTAGGATTTCTTCTATGCTTTGGCCATTGCTACCAATGCTTCTGTGACTATGAATATATATACCCTGCTTTCAATATTTTTGGGTGCCTGCTCAGAAATAGAGTTGCTAAATCATACACCAATTATGTTTTTTAATTAAAAGGTATTTTATTTATTTAATGTGTGTGCGTGTGTGTGTGTGTGCGTGTGTGCGTGTGCGTGTGCGTGCGCGTGCGTGCATGCGTGCGTGCGTGTGTGTGTGCCACAGCTCATGGATAGAGGACAGTTCCTTCCTTCCACTGTTGGATCCAGCGATTGAACTGAGGGCACCCTTCTTGTTCAGCAAGCAGTTTACCCCACCAACCACATCGCTGGCCCTGTTTTTAAGTTTTGAGGAAGGCTGTGTAGTTTCCAGTACTTTCCCACCAACAGCACGGGAGGAGTCTTCCCGTGCTGCTTCACACTCTCACTACGGCTTATCCTTGTTTCCTTCACAACAGTAGCATCCTACTAAGCATGAAGTGGCAAAAAAAAAAAAAAAAAAAAAAAAAAAAAAAACAGTCCAGCCTTCTCTAATACAATGCACAGCAACTGAATTCTGTTAGGTGCATTGCGTGGGGTACTCTGAATTTCGTCGTTCCTTCGAAAATTATCTTAGCTCACATTTGGAGGACACCCAAGAGAGTGAAACATGTGACTTTTGTCCATTGACTTCCTATCAAACACGCACAACTCTGAAATACGTAACACATTGAAAGATGCGAACGGTGTAAGTCTTTGCAAAGGTGCCCTCCCACGTCTTTGCTCCAGCTTTGAAATGTACTCTTCTGTCGGTTTGCATGGATGACAGACTGTGCAATTTTTGTCACTGATGAATTTCTGAGTCCCTTTTCCTGCCTCGGGTTAATGGTTAATTTATGTGCAGGCCAGCGTTCGGGAGAAGGATAGACGAAACAAACAAGCAAGCAAGCAAGCAAACAAACAAAACCGCAGTGCTTTGAAACTGGAGCCCGTTTTGCACGACTGACTTCAGCTTTTGTCACTCGATGAATTCCATTTGAGGGAGACTATTCCCTACTCCCTGACCTCCACTTGGGTTTACGCCAGTTTACGACAGTTTCCTCTCTACCATAAGTGAGAGGAGGAGCCCCAGGCTGACTCCAGCTCTGCCACCGGGCTATCAATGTGCAGGTGCAGCAAGGTCGTCTGCTCCCAGGCCCGCGTGCTCTCTGCTTGGCTGCAAACGGAGGTAAGTTAGTGATTCAGTAGTTAATTTTATTTGGCCCAGGGCACCTACATTTCTGTTCCGAGCGCCAACTGACCCATGCCATATTTTTCGGCCAGAGCCTACTCCCCCCTCATTCCAGGAATCCGGCTTTTCAAAATCATCCAACCCAGCCTTTAATCCTTGCCACGGGCTGTTTTCTTGCACCCCCTTGCCTTGTCACCTCTAGATGAAGTCAGCTGTGTAGTTTTAGTTACACCTGGTAACCAGCAAAGTTGCCACCTCTCTCTAGCTTTTTTTACTGAGGTGGCAAATGTTTGTTGTGTGTCCCTAACTGACCTACTCGCTTCCGCCGTCTACGGCTGTATAAGAAAATCCCAAGGTCAGTAGTGCTGTGACCATTTTAGGGGTGAGTGAGTTGAACCACAAAGTAACAATTCTAGTTGACATTGCTAGGGATTGACCTTGGCTGAGAATCCAAAGCTTGGATTTTCATCTACAAAATCATGATGCTGATGGAATGTGAGCAGAAGGTAACATTTATTTGGTCCACAGTGATGCTGAAGTGCTCAAATGAATTCTAAAACAAAATTGTCTCCTCATCACTCCCTCTTGCTGTCATCAATGACATAGGAATTAAAGAAGGAACATTCAATTTACAATAAAGCAGCTCAACGAGATGGGAAAATAACGACTACAACAAAAGATTAAAGGCATATGGGTGTGTGATGCAACTCCTTTGGCTCACAAAATATTCCCAATACTTATATTTTACGTTTTAAATAATAGGCATTAATTCAGCCATTGTGAAAAATAGTATGGGGATGTTGTTAAAAAACTGCATTAAAAAAAAAAACTGCATTTAAATAAGGCCAGGCATGGTGGTTCATGTCTTTAATCCCAGTATTTAGGAGGCAGAGACAAGTGGATCTCTCTGAGTTCCAGGCCAGCCTGGTCTACATAGTGAGTTTCAGGACAGCCCATGGCTACATAGAGAGACCCTGTCTCAAAAACAAAACAAAACAATTACAAAACTACAAATAGCTGGCCTGGAGGGATTGATCAATGTTTGGGAACATGCACCATTCTTTCAGAGGACTAGAGTCCTGTTTCCAGTACCCACATTGGGTGACTTAGAGCCAAGTGTGACTCCAGCTCCAAGTCTCTTGCCTCCACAGGGCACCTGCACACACCACACACAGACATACACACTCATACACATAACTAAAAAATAATAAAAATAAACATAAAACCCCCACTAAAAATAGAATAAGCAAGTGACCCAGTGATCCCACTACGAGTATGCCTTGAAAGGAATTATAATTAATATGTTCAAGAGTTGTCTTCTGTACATCCATGTTTAGTGCATGAGTATTCATACTAGTAAAGACCAAAATACCCACCAGCAGATTGATAGGTAACAAATATGTGGCATAGGTACACAGCACAATAATAGCCAGCCTTTATTCTCTTATGTTTATTCATATTTCAAAGATTCATTTAATGTGTATGCATGTCTTGCCTGCATACTTGTACCTGGGCCCATACAGGTCAGAAAAGAACATCAGATTCCTTGGTACTAGAGTTATATGTAAATCATCAGGTGGGTACTGGAAACCAAACCTGGCTCCTCTGCAAGAACAGTAAATGTCCTTAACTGCTAAACCAACATTCTATTCCTTATTTCTTTATTTTTTAAAAAAATTTAAAATTTTAGTTTTTATATGTGTGTGAGTGTATTACAGAGTACAGGCAGTTGTGAACTATGCTATCCACATAGCTGGAAACCCAACTTGGGTCCTCTGAAAGAGCAGTACACACTAAATCATCTCTCTCTCTCTCTCTCTCTCTCTCTCTCTCTCTCTCTGAGATAGAAGTTCACTTTGTAGCCCAGGCTGGCCTCCAGATCCTCCTACCTCAGACTTCCTAGTATTAAGAGGACAGACACGTGCCATCTCTCTCAGTATTTAAAAGAATTATATCATATATGAAAACTTGTATGAATTTAGAGGGTACTACACCAAATAAAAAAGCACAGAAAGACAAATATTGCATGGTCTCATTTTTATGTGAGATAAAAGTTACACTCATTGTGATTGAGTAGTCTGGGTAGGGTAGGTGCTGATGGAGTGCTGAATGCTTGAAATTACTAAAATGGTGGGAGCTAGGGAGTTGCTCTCCAGTTATACAGAATATGTATCCAAATATAAGCTGTAGATATGACAAAAGTGAAAATAGGGCTTAAAACTTTCTATTTTGAATTTCTACACAAACACATTCTGGGTATAGAAAACAGTACACCGTATATAGGCACATAGATATCTATTTAGTGAAAATGAATGTATCAAGGGTCCATCAATGCTGAAATGAAATTATGCAGCCATCTTTCCTTTGCTGTACTGTATATTCTACCACAAGGAATTCAAAAGAGGTGCTATCTGAAGTCCTAAATCAACAATTCCTGTCGTGAAACCAATGTGGAAGCAGTTGTAATAACAACTGTAACAGTGGTGTAACAATTATATTAAAAAACACCAAAATGCAGACAGGGTTAACTTTGAAACAGAAAACTTCTTTTGGTGTCAGCTGTGAAAGGGATAATGTATGTTTGAAATTTTGGGAAAAATTGTAGAATGTAGTAGAAGCTTACCCATGTCTCTGATTACTTTCTTGCATCCCTTCTGCTCTTTCAGAATATTCCATATTATTTATAATTTGGTTCTTCTGAAATAAAATAGTAATAATTTTAATAATAACGTGAGTAGGTGAACTTTTTCACTTGATTGGCATACAACAGCATTCCACATCTTTAACAGTCTGCAAAAGCAAGCTGCCAAAATTCACACTGCCAAAATTCACACTGCCAAAATTCACACTGCCTAGCCTTCCCTTTTGTATGAAGCTTCTGCTTAGACAGTTGATCTTATGTTTTGTCATTGAATTTGTGACTCCTTCACCTCATTCTTAACTGAGAGTTGCACTTAATGGAAATTTTAGAACTGGAATGAAACAAAGAAAGTAAAAATGGAAAAGTGTACTATTGTCCAAATATTGGATTCATTCCCACTCTGCCACTGATTTGATTTTAGCTGGGGAAAACTTGAAGTGACCCGATATTTAGGGTTCTCTGTAAAACTTTTTGATATCCAACAGTCTAAGGGAGTAATTTTATGTTTTGCCAATTACTAAGTTAGATATTTGCCAATTACTAAGTTAGATATCACCATAGGTAGATTTATAGTAACAAAAACTAGAATATTTTGAAAACGTAGTCATCATTAGACCTGCATTAAGCACAGCATAATTCTTCCTTTGGTTGGTACTTGTCCTAAGATCACCGTTGTGTGCATAAATTGTTTCACTATTGATGAACAATTCTCATGTTCAATCTCACTTATTAGTGCATATAGCATTTCACCATGTATTGAGATGATGCTAAAAATATGGGTGTAGCCTTTAGAGTGGAATTACTAATTAATCATACAATACCAAAGCATATGACAGGGCTAATATGCTTTCAGACAGTGAGATTCTTAATGAATTATTGTTTCCCAGTGAGTCAGAGAGAAATGCAGCACCAAGAAAGAGGACAAATGCAGTCATTCACAATAGTGAGTATAATAGATACTGACACTTGCCATAGTGATTTTATATCATCTCTAATTTAATATATACCCAAAAAGTGATGAAATAAAAGTCATAAAATAGTTGGTAAATATCATTTACATATCATGAAACTATTATATAATAAAATCCACACATTCATAACAAGAAGTTATATTAAATCTCACCTTGGTAAGAGCATGATCTGTTGTCCATTTACACAAAACTCGTGTGTTTTGTCTCTTCAACAAACAACTTCCTTTTAATGATTGTACTTAGCCAATCATGTATTCTGGTCAGACAGCTGTAATTATCTGATATAATCAGTGATGAATTTCCATGCAAAGAACCTGGTGTTCTTCACATAGTGTTGTTCCTGGAAGCAACATGAGCTAAGGGAATCCACTGAGTAAAATAAGTACTCTTTGAAAACAACCTTCAGTGACTGCACACCTAGCTTCTGTTGGTTAGTTCCAGGATACCTTTTAAAACCGCTGAATAAAATAATTTCTTTAGTACATCAACAGAATATGTCTTAGTAACAGTCCACATGCGGCATTGATTATACTACTTCGTTACTGCTCCCTGGGAGGTCCTTCTGTGTTTGCTGTTTATTCATATTTGTATTGTGGTCCATAACACTGAATCTACCTTACAAATCTATTGCCTGGATATATTATATGCCTTACTTATTCCTTTGTAAATTACCAGTTATTAGTTACAAGTATCCAAAAGTTGTGTCTTTTCTTGAGGAGCTTACAACATCATCATCCCCAACCATACCATAGTTCTTGAGGAGCTTACAACATCATCATCCCCAACCATACCATAGTGTGTCCCTAATCAATCGGCTAGGTGTTATGTGAGACATTAATGGAAATGCAGAAATTTTAAGTCTTTTGGTTGTGTCAAAATACACATAATATAACCTTCACATTTTAACCATTTTAAGTGCAGAGTTCAAGGTCAGTGACATCAGGTTCCTATGGGGTGTTGTATAACCAGCATAACTAGCTATCTGCAAATCATGTTTATCCTCCCAAAGTGAATTGGATCCATCAAGTATTAACTCTTCCTCTGTTCAATATTTGGTAAGCTCTACTACATATTCCACCTCTATGAATTTGCTTCTTTAAGTCATCTCAAAGAAAGGGGATCTGACAATGCTTGATTCTTTTTCACTTAGCATGTTTCACGGTTCAGCTGTTTATCAGAATTGAATTCCCTTTGCCACTGAATTATTACTCTCTGTGCATATTCTAACTCTGGGCTCTTACGAATAATACTGATGTGGAAATTTTCATTTGAGTCTCTATTTGCCTTGTCTTTCATTTGCTTCATGAATGTGGAAGTAGTTGGATTATATTCTGTGTTTATGTTTTTGAAGACTTACCAGCCTTATTCTTGTGGAGATAGCTTCATTTTACACGCGCAGAAGCAACATGCAGATGTTCCCATCTCTTTATATACCCATCAACACCTGTCATGCTTTGGTACCGGTAAAGGTAATCTTAAAAGGTGTGAAGTGGAGTTTCATTGTGTTTTTCGTTTCCTTCCTAAATAGTGATTCTGAGGAACTGTCAAACATTTATTGGCCATTGCATATCTTTTTTTTTTTTTTTTGAGAAATGCTTTTACTTGGACTTAGTTGACTCTTTTTAAAAATACAAAGTGGTGTCGAACTTTATTAAGTACTCTTTCTGTATCAATTGACATACTCATGTGTTTCTTGATCACTAATGCTATGTATCACACTAATTGATTTCTATGTTGAAGTATGCTTATAATCTAGACGTTAATTTCACTCATAGAATTTACCCATTTTCTTATGTTATTACATTTTGCTACCATTTTGGAGAATTGCTTTTTGCATAAGTACTTCTTACTTTCCAATAGATGTCACATAAAGAAAGACAAAAGATATGTGTATCTTAAAATTTCACAAGCTTCAGTCCGTGATCAGTTGGCTCTATTGATTACAGATCTGTGGAAAGGCAGAATGTCGGGGATGTAGCAAAGTTGCTTCTCATGGTTTGGGGGAAGGAGAGAGAAAGAGGCATCAAGGGGGTTGAGAGAATAAATGGAGAAAGGAGAGGGAGGAGGAAGGAGGGGCAGAAAAATGTGACGGATGAAGATTCTGGAGTCCCAGTGATTCCTTTAAGGTTATAAACTATTTGATCTTACTTCAAATCACATGCAATGCCTGGTGGCCCTTTACCTCCTCCCACCCCCCTTTTGGTGGTCACCAGGTCTTTGACATATGGTTTCTGAGGGAACTGCAGATACAAACTGTGGGAAATATTCATAAGGAGCATTGGCCCATTTTGTTTTCTGATGGTTTGCTGTTAGAGGACAAATTAGGAAGTGTAACAGCTTCAATTTTTAGGAAGAGTTTAAAGAGAAGTGCTGTTATTCTGTAAATGATTGGTGAGATTTACCAGCAGTCACCTGGTTCAATTCAAGCCTCACCTAGTCCACAGAGTTCTAGATCAGCTTGGACTGCAGAGTGTGACCCTGTTTTAACTCCTACCCAAGACAACTAACTACCTGACTTTCTTCCACACACACACACACACACACACACACACACACACACTTACTTTTCCTCTTTGTCAAGAATCCTGAATAATGTGTCTGGTAAGAGAGGAAGTTATGTGTGAATAGTATAAAGAGTAACTAATCTAGCATCTGAGAACTCTGAGAAAGAACATCATGGCCTCAAATGCTTTCTTTCACTTGCAGATTAGGATGATCTAAAGAAAATCCTGTGAGGTTGGCTATGATTTTGCCAAGAAAAGATGCCTGAAGGAAGAACAGGGCAGTTTTGGGAATGCAAGGTGAACTGTCCCTCAGCAGAGAGATGAGTTTAGTCATTAGGTAGATAAGATTGTTCTAGGCATTGAACCAAATCTTTATGGCAACTATTATAATTTTCTGAGAACAAGAGGGAATCAGCCTTCTGTATGTCATAGAATTAACCTGATGTTATGGTAGACTGGGACTTGAGCAAGACAGAGCCAGGCAGACTCAGTGTTGTTGAGTTTGTGGTGGTAAGATAGATATTTTGGAGCAAGACAGATAAAAGGAAGATTGACAGGATATAGATTCACAGGACAAGGAAATAGTAAAAAGTAAAAATTCAGTAATTTCATTGTTGGAAGGTGGCATAAAAGGTGACAGAGAGAGTCTGGGAGACAAGGGTGGTTTGTGATCATGGAAGGTGACTTTCAGCTTAACGAGTTGGCTTAGCATGAGTGTCAGCATGAAGCTATTTGGTTTACAGACTGAGATGTGTCAGTAGAAAAGTGCCAGTCTAGAGATACAGAGTGTATCTCTCAGCAGTCATGTGTGTGGAAGGAATGATTGGATTTACTTTTATATTCTGATTCTGCTATATAAACTCATGGTGAAGAGGTATAATATGGTTAAGTATGTTACTCTAGAGTCATCTATCTGTGCAACAGGATTTTCTGCAATCGTTGAGGCAGTTTGTAGACTTTCCTCAGACCTGTGCAGATTGTCTCTGAAATAATGTGGCAGCAGACTACAGTCTACTGTTGTATACAGACTTACTTCAGTTTGAGTGTACTTTTATACAGGAATGAAACAGAGAGCAGTGACTTAAGGAAGGTTGTTGGAGTTTAGAAATCCATGATAAAAATATGTAAAAAAATGTCAGTAAGCACTTATTAAATATTAACAGAGCAGCTCTTTCCCAGAACTTTCTCAGGACAGGCCAATTTAAATCCAATACCTGGCATGTACTGTAGGTTATCTCTGGGAAGGCAGGAAAGCAAGGCAGAAGGCTATAACCCAGATTCAGGGTACACTGACGACTGGGTTCTGTAGCTATGTTCTGGTGTTCAACAAGAATAAACATTCAGTGTCTTATAAATTTGAATGCAAATGTTTGTCACAGGAGGCATGAAATCATGACAGAGAGCAAAATGCACCTGAGATAAAAGGCTCTCTCTCACAGTCCCCCAAGGCATTGTTCATCAAGGGTCATTCTTTTGATGGTATTCTGACACTTCCTCCAGTACATAGCCTGTGTGTGTGTGTGTGTGTGTGTGTGGGTGTGTTTGTGTGTGTGTGGGGTG